GTTCATTCAACCATATCGATTTCTTACCCGGGCAAGGAATGGATCCATGTCTTAAAAATGGAGTGAAAATTTAGTCGGTATGTACGGTTTTTAAATCTTTCCTAAGGCATTTACCTTAAAACTTTCACTAGATCAATTTTATATCTTGATAAACAATGTACAGTGCAAGATGTAATGAAGGTATTTCCGACGATTCCGGAAGTAGAATTGCGGTTGTAAGGGTCTGTTTGGAAATCTGAAGCTTTTAATAAACACAGTCTGAAAAACTTATGTATGTTTATACCATAACTGTTCGTTACCACGTTAAAATAATGTGTGTGTGTATGTGTGTGTAAATGCCTTCTTACAACATAGCATATATCACAATCATCGTTTTGTGAACTATACACATTTAAATGTACGTTGACCTTACCGGGTTTATGTTGTGTTACAGGAGTAATATAGAACTAATGACTACAGATTTCGATTAACACTAGAGTCTGAAGATCCAGTATGCCGTGGAAGGACCATCTGACGCTTGCTGTCCATATCAAAGATCATACAAATGTTAAACGTTTGTTGGACGAGGGACAGTCCCCGAACAGACGTCTGAACGGACAAACGTCACTTCTACACATGGCTGTACGTGAAAATGATAATAGGATAACCAGAACTTTGATTGAACACGGTGCTGATGTAAATGCACTCGATAATTCTAGCCAAACACCATTATTTATCAGCTCAGACCCGCGAATCGATATTGAAATTACAAAGATTCTCTTGGACACTGGAAGTAACATTAACACAAAAGACGTATTGGGTCGGACACCCTTACATAGCATGTCATTCTTTCTCCAGGAGGAAAAACTCCAGCTTTTGCTGAAGGACACGGAAGTTGATGTTGTTAATGATGTCGATTTTGTTGGGAATACAGCTCTTCATATGTGTGTATGTGACGAAAACCCCAATCACAATTACTGTGCATCAATATTTCAATACTTACTCAAGGCGGGGGCTGACCCGAACATACAGGACAGTCGAGGGAGAAGCGTACTTCATCTTGTTTCGGACTTAATTCAGCCACTTACTGATATCCTGTTCGCTCAAACACCCGATGTTAACTATCAGTCGGTTGACAAAGATGGAGACACTTTTCTCCACAAACTTGTATGTAATCTTACTTTATCGGAGGTGTACTGGTTTAAGTTGTTTGAGTGTTGTGCAATTCCAACAAAAGATTGGAAATTTCTACTAAATTCGAAAAACTTAAATGGACAAACACCATTTTTCATATATTTGGATCTACATTTCTATCATGAATCCGTTGTATCTAAAATGTTAGAACTAGGAGCTGACGCTAATTTGGCTGACGATCTAGGAGTGACACCGTTAATGAGGGCATGCACACATAGCTTTGAAACAACAAGGAGACTTGTAGAAAGTGGTGCCGACCTCAATTCATGTAATATCTACGGACAAACTGCTCTACATCTCGCTAAAGATAACGAACTTGTGTCGTTTATGGTCGAATCTGGTGCAGACATTAACATATGTGACAAATGGAATCGGTCACCCTTCCAACAAAGCATACTGTCGGCAATACAACTCAACACCACACAGGATGTGCAGAGATGTTTTCTGGTTAAAGGTTCTAATATAAACCAACAAGACATGTTTGGATCAACTGCTCTACATCTCGCAGCGGATGGAAACAGTGAATTAATCACATTTCTTTTAGAAATGGGTGCAGATCAACATATTACAGATGCAAATGGGCGTGTGCCATTAGACGTTGCTCGCCGTCATAGAAACAGAGATGCCCAAGTAGAATTGAAAAATGGTAGTCACAGTGAAGAAAAAACGTTGACTCTAAACCACGCTTCCCATGAAGCATCATGTGAAAATGATCGACTGCTGTATGTTTTTAAGGATGTTGAACAAGCATGTGATGAACTTACTAAAGATGAAAATATTGAAACCAGGGAATATCACCAAAAGGTGGATAGTGCCGTTACAGAATTGATGAAGTCTATTGCATTAAAAGTAGGGGAAATGGATAGTTCGTTCGAGATACAGGTTTTCCCCAGTGGAAGCTCAGCTGAAGGAACCAAAGCTGACAAGCCTGACGAATATGATTTTGTGTTTTGCCTTCCTTACTTCTCTGAATCATGCGAGATTGTAGAGTACAACTCACACAAGTCTTTTGGTTTAGTAAGCTTAAAATCAAAGTCAAATCCACCCCCAAAACAGATTGCCTATTTATTTGATGATCATGGTGGGCTTTCCGCCTATAGAGTAAGAAAAGAGCTTGAAAGTTTAATGCAAAGGGTTATCAGACGTAGAACCACATGGAACATTGACAATATCAAAATGGGTGGATTGGCGTTGTCGTTTGCAACAGATGACCTTGTAGAAAAACCTGTCATAAATTTCAAAATAGCCTTTGTCGATATGGAATACAGTAACCTTGAGATAAGTATCGATGTAGCATTGGGTATTCAGAAAGCTGGGTGGTGGCCATCCTGTATCAACATAGACAGTATTCCTTTAGTGGATGATACAATAAAGAAGATGGGATGTCTTGTCATAGCACAGGTGCCTGGAGACAAATCAGTTCGTGACAGACTGCTTAGAGTTGTTTCTTTGGGAGAAGACGGACACGCATCTGATGGTCTCCCAAAATCAGTTTCTGTTGAAGAGAACGATTTTACAGTTGGGACGGAAGACGTCCGTGCTTATTATAGTGAATTTAACGAACTTATCATGAATACGATAACTGATGAGGACGAACTACAGACAGGTAGCCATACGATAGAAAGGGCACCAGAAAGGGTAGCAGACTTCCGGATATCGTGTTCACTTTGCGAAAGTCACTTAATGAGACGTCTACCACAGGCGATGAAGAATGGCTATATACTAGCTAAAATACTTAAGAACAGAATTTGTCCAGACATCGATTTCGAAGAGGAAGCCAATACAAACATAGTAGAACAAATGCTCTTCTCATCAGCAAAGGACTACATTAGTTCCTATCTTTTGAAAACTTGTCTGTTTCATATCGTTTCTTCTGAGGAAGAAATCATATATACAAGAGACATGAAAACTTCTACAGATAAAGCTAAAGATATAGCCGTGAAGTTATATCGTTTTTTGTCTGATGCTGCAAGAAGAAAATCACTTCCATTTCACTTTCTACCCAACGCGAACCTTTTTACATATCAACGTGTCGTTCTCGAAGAACAAGACACGGATGATTTTGATGACTATTTAGATAACCATACCCAAAGGATACACACCTACTGTAAAGCAATTCTAGGATGTCTGGGTTGTGTTGATTAAAAAGACAATAGAATTTCTTATCGCTGAATTCATACCTAGACGTCCTTGGTATTCAGCTTTCCTATGCAGTATTCTCTGTTTATTAACAAGGACATATAAGCTGATAGCTTACAGTCTAGTCTGTATCACAGAACCAATACCAGACTGATTTTGTCACCGATTAACGTGGAAAACAGCATGGAATCTTTCAGTGACAATGTCTCAATAAGATCAAAATGTATTGTGTAAGCAACAACTTATTTGTATTAAAGACATTACAATTACGACGGGAGTTTTATCATACATTTTAAATGTATATCTCTATATGATTGTAAGCCATATCTTACATGCGTGAAATGCGTTAAAATATTGTTAACTTACGTCTGTTGTTTCGCCGAAATGTTCACGAATGGGAGGCCTGTACTGTCACGAGGTAGAGCACCGTTAAAAGCGATAAGCACAACAGAGTAATCTCCCTTGTTCCTGGCGCTTATCGCTACGCTTCAGTGGTTGAATAACAAGTCACTAGCTAGGCAGAATGACCTGACACGGACACAGTGCTAATCGGTAAGTACACAATTGCTTAACACACAAGACAGGTTAAGTATTCCTAGGTGTATGTAGATCTCAGCGATTGTATGATTTGAACTCGGGGTCAACTTCGACAAATTTGTGCTTTTATGAAGCAGTGGAATTTGGTTAATGGGTATACCGGAAGTGGAATCTATACTGTTGTTCTGGATATTTATCAACATTTCATCCTTCTTAACCCTTTACATTCCTTCGATCTACCACACCAGGACACGAAATCTTTAGACCTTCACTGAAATATCAACATCTTAGCATATCAACGAGAAGGCACACATACTTTTGTCTTACCGGAAAATGTCAAGCTTCAAGACCTTTATTTATCTGCTAAACTTTACCGAGAAAATGTTATAGACGTCTAGCACAAATTATATTCAAGAAATAACAAAATTGATTATATGTTTATAGGCTTGTTGATATTGTTGATGGTTGCTTGCGTAAAATCCATTATCACTTCGGTTATCGTTACCCAATGCAACCAGTTATCGTGTATAAAATGTAATCCAAGATAAACTATATACTCATATGATACGGGACGTAGGTGTATCTTTCATTACTTAAACACATACACAGAGATCATAAATACGACATAAAAGCGATCTCTGTCAGACATGCGCATTGACATCTTAGATAAGGATTTTACACGATTTGATGAAATTTGATAAAGAAACTGCATATGTAGGATGAAATATTTTGCTAATTTTTGTATCAGTCATTATGTAACTGGGCAAATTATGGGAGTTAGAGACTTTTAAAGGAAACAAAGACACAATTTACATTATCGAATCTTATAATTTGATAATGACAAGTATTAATTTGTGATCCCGATAATACTCTAAATATATTTCAAATTAGAAAGATTTTCACGTGTTTACATGTAAATCTTAAAGTAGGTTCGTAAGTTTTATCGTCCATGTTTCCAATATATTTTTTCCAATATATTACAGAATCCCATCTGGAATACATTTGTATAAGTTAGCAATAACTTTCCCAATCACTTCTGAGAAAAGCGCCAACAGTCATATATTATGTACAACGACTGTAAAGAATATATTTTATTCTATTTCAGGCGCATCAATTTAAACATAGCATTTCATTAAAAAAAAAGAATAAAAATGCCGTGGAAGGATATATTAACGCTTGCTGTGCATATTCAGGATCATTCTACCGCAGCTAAATTGCTGAGTGAAGGCCAGTCCCCAGACGGACGGACGGACGGATACGAACCATTACTTCACAAAGCCGTAGGGAATAACGATTTAAGGATGACCAAGCTTCTACTTGATCACGGAGCGGAAGTAAATAAACAAGATAGCATGTATCAGACGGCTTTACTTCAAAGCACATCACCTGACGTAGACATCGAGATTTCAAAGACTTTGATTGAGGCTGGGGGAGTAATCAATATAAAAGACATGTATGAACGAACACCCCTGCATTATTTATCATTCTATCCACAAGAAGAAAAAATTACTCATTTTCTACATACACCAAGCAGTGAGTTGCTTAATGCTGTGGATTACTTCGGAAACACTGCGCTACATCTATGCACGACACCAGATCAAAGACATGAAACTGGCGGTCTTTTAGTGATGGAAAAGTTGCTAACGGCTGGAGCCGATCCTAACATACAGGATAAGAGAGGTAAAAGTTCGTTACATCATGTGTCGACTCATAATGAACCCAAAATAGAACTGTTTATATCAAAGACTAAAGATATCAACTATCTGTTGCCGGATTCAGAAGGCGAAAACTTTATGCACAACCTTATTGCCAATCCATCACTTATGCAGTCGTATCTTATCAATTTGTTAGAATCACCACTTATTCCTGAACCTGTTTGGAAAGCTCTCCTCAACAGCAGAAATATCTACGGATTATCGCCTTTTTCTTCGTTTTTTGGAGCATTTATTTGCAATGAAAATATTGTTCGAAAAATGATTGAATTAGGCGCAGATGTGAATGGACCTGATGGAGTAGATGTTACGCCATTGATGAAATCTTCCACTTTCAGTTTGGATGTGGTGGAAACATTAATCGAATATGACGCTAATCCAAATGCACAGGATATTGCGGGAGGAACTGCTCTTCATCTGGCCATGAATTCTGAGATCGTGTTATTACTTATTGACGCTGGATCCAGCATCAATCTTTGTGATAAATGGGGCTGCTCTCCATTGCAACAAAGCTTTCCCTGTGATCAGGATTTGCTCGCAGAAACAGATGTACAGACAACACTCACAATACAGGGTTCTGATATTAACCACAAAGATATATATGGTGCAACAGCATTGCATCATGCAGCGTGCAGTAGTTCTGATCTAACTTCAATGCTTTTGAAAATGGGTGCTGATAAACGCATCAAAGACAAAAGTGGACGAACACCATTGGATGTTGCTTGTCTTCTTGGCAACTGGGAAGTAGAGAATATTCTTCGGGCGAACAAATCAATCTCCCCATCGGATGAAAAACTGTTGACATACCCCGAAGACATAACAGGAGAAAATTTGCAGAAGTGTTTGCAAAATTTGGAACTCGTCAAAGCTGTTGAGAAAGCATGCGACAACTTACTACAAGAGGGAGGGATTTTCAACGACTTCCACACCGCAAACGAGAATATAAGAATTGGAGTAAATGACTTAATGGACGACATCGCCAAGAAGATGGGTGAACAGGATGAACATTTCTCCATACAAATTTACACAAGCGGAAGTTCATCTGAAGGAACTAAAGCCGGTTTATACAATGAATTTGATTTCGTATTCTGTTTACCTTTCTTTGCAGATCTTTGTGAGATTGTTGAAGAAAGATCGGATGCTTTCACTGGACTTGCACGCTTAAGGTGCAAGGACCTGTTACCTCCAAGGGTTGTGAGTCACTTATTCGACGACGAAGGCTTCCTGTTATCACATGAGCTTAGGAAAACGTGCGATTCATTAATAAGAAGAGTAATACTAAACAGAGACATTTGGAAACGAGATAACGTCAAGATGGGCTCTTTAGCCACGTCTTTTAAGACCAATGACACAGAGAAACCAGTAAGCAACTTCACGATATCATGGATCGATGAGTTGCATAAAAACCTTGGTATCAGCATTGACGTTGCTTTTGGAATCCACAAGGCAGGATGGTGGCCACACGGTGTCAGCACAGAAACGATCGCCCAGATGACAGATGAGGTAACACCTTTCGGTTGTCTTCTTCTTGTTCAGGTGCCGGGGCATATGAGATGGATAGGACAACACTTTCGCATATCCTGTTCTCTCATGGAGAGCCGTATGATGGTACAGCTCTCGCAAGATATCAAAAACAGCTATAAACTTGCTAAAATTCTGAAGGATGATCTTTGTCCAGGAATTGATTTTGGAGACGATGAGGATGGATCGCCGTCGATTGCTTCATCGGCATCCGATGTGATCAGTTCTTATATGTTGAAGAACTGTTTATTCCATGTTATAACCAATACCAGTTCTGCTTCTTTTTCTCAGTCAAATAAAAATAAACTGACCAGAAGATGTATTATACATAACACAGCAGAGATATACAGATGCTTGATGAGAGCTGCTACTGAGCAATCACTGCCCTGTCATTTCCTTCCGAAAGTTGATATTTTCAGATATCAAATAGTAAATATTGAAGGCTTTGAAGACAACTCTGATGATGTCTTATTGTCCCTTAAACAGAACACCAATGAAATTGCATCTTATTGCAAAGTAATTCTCGGATGTCTTGGCATTGCTAACTTCTAGTTAATTCGTCATTCGTTTCTTTCGAAACTTTTTCTTATGTAAACATTGCTAACATAAGAAAACTGCCATTGTCTATATAGCAATCAGTTTCACACGTTTTAACTTGCTTCTGAGGATGGCAGGGGACGGGATATCGAATCAGATAAATCTTTATAGTTGATTTTCCGTCATTAGACAAAAATTGCAGTTAAAAAGATGATATATGGTTAAAAATAATATTTACACAACCTATGAATTAGAATTCAGATAAACACAGACGTAATCTTTCATGTGGCATTTTTAAATTTTGATTTATACTGCTTTTTTTAAATCCACAGATCAAGGTTGGATGCAAATTCCGCATTTCATTTTTGATCATCTGTTTTGAGATGATTTATTTCAATTTCACTTTAACCACAATAATAAATAAACTACATCACATGATTCAGTAAATGTTGTTAAATGTTTGCCTGTGATATCATTATATACATATCAAAAACACATTTGAAATTATTATAAACATTGTGATTTGAATCTTGCTGATAGCTACGACCATCTATTCACACTAATAACGGTATGTTTCGATGGACAGTTATGGAATCAATTATTCTATTTAGTCCATAATTATCAATACATTTTCCATCAACATGAAAGTTCATCATCTTCAAAATATTCCGTGTAAAGCAATAAACTTATCAGTAAAAATATGCCTTTAGCCACACGGCAGATGTTACACACCACTGGTAATCTAAACGCCGAAGCGGCTGATATCCGGATATAATATCTATGTTAACATTTAAATATTTCTATTCATAGTATAATTTTGTATGTGTGGTATGAAAGAAACGTTATTGTTTGTAGCCGGAATGACAGACCATACGATGTTTACATGTTCATGGATTTGAAGCAATATTTTTCCCAGAGGGGAAATTATTTTTCAGGGTAGACTCAATTATTCAATAAAATGCAAAGGTAATCAACATTGAAATAGATGTGAATTGTGCTTATACTCCCTTCTCACTTACACAAATTAGCACTCAAAAACATTAGTTTTAGCACAAATTTAAACTATAATGGAATCCTCTTGAGTCCACAGCTTTAATTTCGGGAGCATCGTTAAATGTGGTATTTTTTGGGTATTTAAATCCTGAATTTAATGTGCGTGTGGGTATGATACATTTTCGTCAAACAGGCATTGGGACCTGACAGTGTTTGCATTATTCTTGAAATTGATAAATACATTTCAGAATAATATTTGGAAATAAAACTTTTCATTAAAGTCGCTGGTTGTAGATTATCATTTCTGTGTCTGGTGTATAATGTTGTATTAGTTCGGGTTGTCGAATTAGGCATGACGCTTTTGATAGTCTGTCCGGTCAAGCTCCTTTTCTTCCTTCAATACTCTGCAACTATGTTTTATTCCGTGGTCACCTGTTTCTTAGTATGAAACAATTCTACGAGAAATTAAGTGGTCACTAAAGCATAATGCAAAAACATCACATTTGACCCAAATTTCAGCAAGATAATTAAAAAAAACTCGCATGGAAAAGCCTGGTCATCGGGTGTATATAAGAAATTTTACATTTACACAACAATGTCACGGTATAAGACAATAGAAAAGAAGTGTAATTTAGGTACCGTGGCATTGAAATGAACATATAAAGCCGTTATTGTTGTCCTAGAAAAGGCCAAATGGTTACTGCCTTTGACGGATGGTGTTGTCGGTAGTTAATAAGTTATGATTGTTTAAATAGTGTTGTACGTATAACCCGCAGGACACATATAATGTAAGTAAACATTTAATCGTCTTATTACGACGCTTTATGGTCGTTGTAAATGACCAAGCTTTGCAGAAAAAATGCATATTGCGCCCAACAACATGCTAAATGCTGTAAGGTATTATCCTCTTTATAACAACTAACGCAAGTCATTAAAAGGCAGTTCAATGATTTGATAAATTCCTTCTTATTTCATAATATATATGAAACTCTTCACAATTTGTTCATTGAAGTTCTTTTCAATCTGAAATGACATCGTAACTCGTGTAGAATTCTATGAATATTTATGCAGTGTGGAGATCATTATGGTTTACGTCTATCCAGAGTTAGAATTTGATGGTACTTGATATTACGTCATATCCTTTATCTCTTAAACTCCATGTGGTATTCCTTTCTTCATTCGTTCAATTCTGGGTCAGTCTAGACAGTCATGATAGTCAATTGTTTCACACTAAAACTAAAATCGGTTGTGGAGGATGGAAATCACATATTGCTCGAAATCGTCTGAAGGAATCTTAAAAGGTATTGGATGTATATTTCACTGTTTTGTTTCACCCATGAATTACCTCCAATCGAACATGGGAGATGTAAAAGACCATGTGGTCTGGAAGATGTAAAGTCATTGACATATTTGTAAGTATCAAGATGTGTTTTGATATTATCATGAGATTATGGCTTTGCATTGTATTCATTCGAAAACAAACTGCAATTGGCAAAATAAAAGTATCTTTAAAACAAATTTAATTTTTAAAAAAAAATAAAAGAAAAATACACACGTTTCTCTACAAACGCCGTGAGTGTGCTTGCAATTTTAGCAAAGACTGTTACACCCTATAAATATATACCGCGTTACCGCATTATGGTTTTGGATTACATATATAATTAAACCGAGAAGAATTTCCTAATACCCTATAATCATACACAGTCACCATTCAAATATTGTGCTGACTGTAAGCTTTGAAATCTGAACTACTTTCAGCTCATAATACGAGTAATAGCAAAACACAGCATAGTGTAGATATATTGCTGTAACATGTTAGATACTTATTAACGAAAAGTCTTTTTCATCAATATCCGAAAAAATAACCAAAGGAATGAAAAAAAAATATAACCGTAAATAATATCGGACTGTATTGAATCAAATCTTAGCTAGGACTAGAAAGATAAGTACGTAAAGAAATGCATGATGCTCGCCTTTCTGGAAAGGGCACTAAACGATATTCATGTTTAGAAAAATCTATCCGACACCAGCAAATGGGCGTTACAAGTGAAGACTGATTTGAATCGGTAGCCATTAGGAATTTTGCATGTAACTGTAGAAGACACATAACAGAGTTAACACCGCGATAATACATTGTATTTGTAAAATATCCAATTAAATGATTTAGGAAAAATCTCATTTTCTCCGCTAAATGTTTTAGGTAATACAAAAAATTGTTCTGTTTTCGAAATTTGGAGTGTTTATTTTAATGTCTTAAATATAGATAGAAATCTGGTCATTGCGTAAATCGACGAGTCTGACCTGTCTGGGGTTAAAAAAAGGGGGGATGGTATCTGAAAAATCGGTGAAAAGAACTACCATTCCATGAATACCCCCAAACCTCCTAAGCTCTGTCGTTGGTGTTCCTTATCTGTTTATGTTCTGTTGCAAAGGTTTTTATAATCCAGTTGCGGTTTGTTGCACATTAACAGCAGCAAATAGATAACATGAGAATCAGATATATTATCGTTTGTTTACGTCAATACGGAATAAAAGATGTCATAGTGACATCAGGGTGTGTTTCTGGTGAACATCAACATCCACTTGTACAGAAAACAACAATATCTTTTTAATGCTGCATGCAAGCTTTATTTGAGTACTATTTAAGGAAGATAAGAAAAAGTTGATATCAACTTACATAACCTGAGATTAACTTGGTTTTAAACGATACATGCATATAAAAGCAAATATATTTACATGTACATTGCGAGCTCAAAGCTAATAGAAAAACTCTGTCTAACGCAAATCCTTGATATGTATATTGATTAATTGGTCCAAAATTTCTTATATTATGTATCGTTAAAGGTAATTAGAATCATATGGCAACGTTTTTTCATATTCTATGAAGTTAAATGAGGATAATACTTTAATAGGCATTTGTAAATAAAGAAATTGATCACGTAAGACGGAATGAGAGCAATTTAGTATGATAGTGTTATTGACTGGAGTTATATTACATAGTGTGAAAAAATATTTAAGATTAAATTTGTGTTGTTACAGTTGACTACGCCCTATTTAGTCGCCAAAAATATCCTTGACATATAACTTCATAATTAAAACTCAAGTTGAAAAACCATTATCGATTAAGCGAAACATGTCTGGTACTTAATAAACATACGATAGTAAGAAAATAAGAATGCTATATATACTGCGAAGTTAAGATTCTAGTGCTAACTTGGATAATAAAAGAAGCACGTTAAAAGCAACAAAACGTGAAAGCGAAAAGCAATAAGTGTGTAACAAAGAGTCCATTATTTCGAGCAAGTTTGTCTGGGGAAGATCATTTACAGGCAACTCTCGTCCTGCAGTAGTCGCATTATGTCAGTATGTGATTGGTCGCGTAACTCTGTGAGCACCCGTTGGTGACTCGTTTGTCTGAGCTCCTCCGCCCTTGGATCTTGCCTGTTCTTACAGATCATTTGCATACGTATTGGCTTTTGGTTCTGTGGTCGACAACCAGAAACACATTTATCCACTGGCCGTTTTGAGAAGCATATCTTGTCCAAATTTGTTCTGACTTCTGTCCTCTTTTCCAAACGGCATGATGCTAAAATGTAGAAAAAAATATTCATCAATAAAATCAATGAATAGTATCGACTATGTGAAAATAGCTTATCATGAAGTTTACATACAAAAAATAAACATCAGCAAGAAAAGTGAATTTGTACTTACTGAACCATTGTTATGCCACACGCATTACGAATGATACTGATAAAAATGTCCTAAGCTCTTGTTCAAAACATCTAATTTGTATATCTGAATACAAAGATATTTCCTATGTCGATGGTTTGCCTATGCCTTTATTGAAGCCTTACTGCACAGAAAAAAATTGCAATAAAACATTGAAACAATTGAAGCTAGAATCTATGAATCCAAATGATAAAAAAAAATAAAATCGTTTTCAATTCGGGCTTTACCTGGTTTTGAAAACAGGCTAGGAATGGCTTGATTGCATTCGCGTTTGACGTCCGCAGCCTCACACTGGCCATTTGAGATAACGTAACTAGCTAACAGACATGCAGAGTTTGCTTGAGACTGTTTCTGGGGGTCCTTGTTATCATTGCCTGGGTTACCATTGTAGTCGCCACAAAGACCACATACTTTAGAGTAATAGAATGACGATACCTTAAAGGATGAGAAAATGTACATTTTCATTACAAAGTCATTACATGCGTAGAATTATGTAAGGTCATATAGTTATCAATCAAATGTAAAACAGTTAAAATATACTATTCATTTGAATAAGAAAACTTTTAAAGTACTTTTAAAGAATATATATATTCGAATTTTTTGTATTTGAAATAAACGGAAATCTGCATACTTTTATTGATACATGATCTCCATCGGTGACAATCTGGGCTCCTTGAATAGGTACATTCACATATATCCGGGGTCCTCTCTTCAATATTTCAATAAGAGTCGGTTGGTGTCTGCAATGAAAATAAGTTACTATGTTTTCTGCTAAATTTTATTGTCAATATGATTTCCATTATTCATGTATTTGTGAAACTGAAAAGGGCAACTACCTTCCTTCTCTGTCCTCTTTTTCAATCACATATGGACTATCGTCTGAAAGGGTCTGTTCGACATCATCAATTTTCATCACCAAAACATTGTTTCTTGGGATCACTTCAATCTTCCTATTTTCAACCATTACTACCACCGCCTTCCGAAAGGAATGAATATAAAGTGAAAATGATGTTTAATATGATAATCTGAAAAAAGGTAGTGTATACATATAGGATGTTGAAAAATGTTCATTAATATATAGGGAGATGACTGTTTAGTGTGTAAAAGCTGTATAATGTGTGACTTGCTTCGTTATGCTATCGAGGTAAATTTCAAATAAACAAAAATGTTATTCAATAAGGTCCATTCTATATGTTTGACTATGGAAATGTGTTGTTATTGCTTAGGGTAAATATAAATCGAATGCGTGCTGCTTCTTTGATTTTTAGTCTTTGAACTTTTCAACATTCATCGACATTAAGAATAAATTCACCTTCTTCGCAGGATCTGAATTAATATTCCTTGCTTTGACAGCGAATTCGGTTGAAGAGGAACAATCCATAGCCAGAACGACATCGCATCCTTTAGAGTCAGGGATACTGTATTCAATCGCATCCAAAGTCGTCAACATATTCCTTTTAATCTCACATACACCTGAAAGCATGAAATTCAAGAAGGAACCCGGAGGATTAATTCTTACAGTTATCTTAATCAGCCAGCATTGCAAATTCACTTATCTTTTTTAATTGTCATATAATAATCTAACTCCATTAATGCATTGCCTCAACGAATACCATCACTCAGAAATCATTGTAAAATGAAGTTTGCTGTATAAGATAACATTTTGGTATCAATACAAATATCATTTCTCATACCCGATAGTTTGGTGTTGATGTGCAGTGGTGACGGAACAATGCTATTTTGGAGAGGTTTTGGTTGCAGAGATGAAAGTAATGATTTCCAAGAGAAAGGCATCAGGATTCCCCGAAATCTGTCAATTTCACCACGAGTCAACATATCCATGTTCATCTTAAAGTAAAGAATCGGATGTAAAGAATAAAGTATAACAGTTGCTCTTATAGTTTGTCCACATGTCTTGAACATCCCTTAAGACCGATATTTTCAAACAACAAAATGACTTCTGCTAATCATGTTAAATTTCTGTGTATTTACGCATTTACATTTCCGTATCGCATGGTGTTTTAATACATTTACGTTAAAACGGTAGATCCACAAGTCGATCTGTGGAAAACATTGTCATCGGCTACTCTACAAGTAAATATAAAAGAAACTTGTTAATTTAAAACCATTTTACTGGGATTATGTAAGTCATATTGCCCGAGTTTGTATGGAATGCGTCTTCTGTCAATGAGGCATATTGAATTTCACCAGGTAGATTGTATCTTGATACATAACTCAAAGTTTGAAATTTATAGAAAAAACATGATATCGGCTTTTAGCCTCCTTTTAAATTATTTCAATGAAAAATTATGATGTTTTCTTGGCCCCGAGGTTTTCATGATACGTTTTTATTATTCAAATAGTGGAACGGTTCAGAATATACATATGTTCTTTTCAAATCATCAGACAAAGTAAAAATATGCTAATGTATTGAATTATTGACTTTCCTTTATCGCCTCTTAATTTCTTACAATTCAGGTCCTTTGCATCGCTAACGAGTCTTCCAAGAACGAAGCCACCGTATGATACATTTTAATTCCTTATTTGGCTCAAATGTTTCTGATTCTGTTGAAATTTTAATGAAAGGTGCTATTCACCTGCGTATCTTTTGGGCAGTCTTTACAATAGAACACAATATTTATTCCTGTAAAATATGAACATAAATCCATGACACTGAACAACTTAGCTACGCGCTAATTTGACTTGACATCTCAAATCATACCATCTTTACTTGAAATTAAAACGACACATTTGATGTTTAACAAGGCATAGTTCATATGGGAGCATTTGTTTTGTAAGTTTAGTGTAACCAACCTGATAGTTGTTCCTTTCGATATCCAAAATAAGCTCCATATAATTAGGTTTGTATGTCTTTTCCGGGAAATATTGCCTCATGTGATGGAACATCTTGTATTTCAAGAATTCTCGGTAGCGCCAGAAGTACAGTTGTAGGTAATCGGGGAATTCATCCTGAAAAGCAAAGTTGATACAATATCGTAATTTAAATGAATAGCTGACAATGATTGGAGGATTGGAGTTTTACCAGAATTGTACAAAGTTCAATGTTTTGTTGATATTGGTTATATGCTTTCGATACTCAGAGCAAATGATTTTTAACATGTATATCATACAAAATGTTTATTTTGATACTGATACATTTTGAACGCTTGATAGAATGAAATTAATAAGATTATAAAAATATTAGTGATGCATTATTCGGATTTAAAATACATTCTTTTTAAACGTAATGATATAAAATGTATTAATTAGAAAGAGATCGCATGTCTTTATCCCTATAACCGTATGTTTACAGAAACTGATACCTTATTGTAGTCAATGCTAAAGTGGAAGTGGCGGAAAGTGTTAAGCTCTTCGTCCAATATTTTGTATGGCTTCGTGATTTCTTCGGTGCCACTTTCTTTTGCACTGAGGTACTTCTTTACGACTTCGTCTCTAACTAGAGGTGACGACTGATCTTTTTCCCAAAATATCTGCGCCAGTGATTTCTTTCCAATCATCTACACAAGCATAAATTGAAATAATACAATGGAATATGGTCAAGGAAATAAGTATTATGTAAATCGACTTTCCGTATATTCATTTCGGTACGTGAATATATATATATCTATATATAATTCGCGATGTTTCGTATCCCATAAAATAATGTATATATTGAGTATAAGATACTCGCCTCGATCGTCAACACTTTGGTACGTCCATTATCAGGTCCTACATGTGCATTCATCTCCAAATAAAGTCTTTGTGGGTATTCCATATCTCTTGAAAGTGTCTTGCTCTTGAGCATTCTCGAATCTGGCTGACTACGCACCACGGAGTCTGAATCAGTGTCCGGCAGATATCTCTTGTGAAAAGTAGACAATGCCTTTTTCAAATACTTCAGTTGTTCGAGATACATATCTTCTACACTGTCTTTTAGAGTCTTCAGTGGTTGATGTACTTCTCCTGACATCACCGATCGATAAACTGATAGTCTGCGAATATTTTCTCTAAGTTGTTCGAGTAATTTCATCTGGTTTTGCATTATCTTTGCAGACATTTGTAACAACTGCGGTGATAAGGTGTTTGGCATATCCATAAGTTCTTCTAATTTCGTTTTTATTTCTTTAAGGTGTTGCATGCTTTCGTGGAGAAGATGAAATTTCTCGTCGTCATTCCTTTGTCCTGAACGAAAGGTCGACATCCTAACCTTTTCAAGTTTAACAGAGACCATTGGTTGAACGAGTGTCACCTGAATAAGTTTCTGGAGTTGCGGATGCTCAGTGCTTGGAATAACTTGCAAAAGCATATTACTCTCTTCATCTTTTGAGATGAGATGAGCCAACATCTTTGAAAAGCAGCAGACTTGTGATTTCATTACTTCTTTTTGAGAGATGAAATTCTGTTTTAAATCAGGCTGTGGTGCTGGAATGTGGCCGTCCTTAAAATGCTGTTTAACAAGTTCCATCTTTATGTTCATGCTTTCTATAACCTGTTTTTGAAGAATAACAGCTTCGAGAATATGATATGCTGCTGCTTTCGGAATAACTGTTCCTCCAATGACGGCGACTTTTATCTTTCTTTCTACTGTGCCTACTTTCTTTATTACCCCTATAACATCAGACATGCTCACATCTTGAAGTCTTGGAGATGTAGTTGGCGACAGCAAATCAAGCAAGAGACGATCTTGTTGCTCCTTCAACTCTGGATAACGTGAATCTGGAAGCATCACCTGGGCCTCTTTTTGTACCATTTGGTGCATTAGAATTTCAGCAGCTTTCAGTTTATCTTTCACATCAGCCTGTGTTGGTACTGGAAGCATGTCTTTCAAGAAAGTGAACATTTTCAACAATTTCCTCAATATCTGTTGCTGTTTATATACCGAATATTTAACAAGCACGGGCTTTCTTATATCATTGTTATTTCCTTGAACCTTGTCTAATTCTTGATTTAGGATATCAGCAGCAAACTTCGCTCCATGAATCAATGACAAATATTTGTTTTCCTTCTCTTTGAGATACTTTTTATCGTACATCTCGTGTTTCAACTGTTTAAACAAATGAAGTATTTTTTTCTGTTCTTCAACTAACTTTATCAATTTCTTCAAAACTGGATCGGCTGACTCCTCCGTTTTCTTAATAATGTCCTGTACCAGACTATCAACTAAGGTTTTCGAATAGGTCAGGCTTTGCATTTTCGTCATGACCATGTCTTGATACACAGGAAGCACGTCATTAATTCTGTGGGTCATATGATGTTTGCCGTCCTCCTTAACATACAACATAATCTGTTTCTCAAGTTCTTCCAAATATGTGGGATCAATCAGTTTCGATGGGTCAATGTGAACTCTTGGGAATGTCACCTTAACATCCATATCCCATTGGAATGGTGCAGTTTCCCATTGTGGATACGGCGATCTCTTGAATAAAAAGCTGATATGATGTGATTCATGTTCATCGCTACTTTTCTGGAAAAGCGCTTCCAGATTATATTGTCGTATCGGACTACTTCCTATCCCAGTCAACTTTAGCGAATATGCGTATTTCTCTCCTCCCTGCAATATTGGTACTTTGCTTCTCATTTTTTCTATTATGTGTTGCAGGCGATTATTAGGTGAATTACCTTCTCTTTGAGGTGCAGAGCTATCATCGGATCCAAAAACATTCAAGACATTAAAAAAACTGAGATATCCCTCATCTTGTTCGCTAGATTGTTCGGAAGAGGACCAGTCTGTAACATGATTTTTATGGACCATGAACTCCAACTGGTATTTATTAGGTGGGCTCAATCCTGGCGCGACTGTGAAGTACAGCATTTGTTTCCCAGAAAATGGACAGTAAGGAATGGTAGGAAGAAAATTTCTTGTTACCCTTTGCCCATTCATAGCAAACTTAAGTCCCCACTCATGATTCCCGTATTCTTCTGATACCTTAGGATTGTAAACACATGAAATAAATAAGTTCAATTATAGATAAAATTAAGATTAAATTAAAATTAAGAAAGCTATTTCATCATTTCAAATTATCAAATACATTAAGACAAGATATTTTAGAGGCATCTTGCATGACGCCCATCTTTGTTTGGTCCCTATTTCTTCTTTCAAAATTTGTGATATTTTCTCTTGAATTTGATAATTCATAATTAAAGATTCACAAAACAGGGACCATAAAGAAGCTACATATGAAATTTGAAAAAGATCCATCCAGTGTTTCTAAAACCACGGTCATAAGAATCTTTCATTGTAATGATCCAAGACCTGTCTATTGACCATGGTGTTTTCTTGGTTAGTTCTCAAACCAAACGAACTCAACAAGTAACCAAGAGGCAACATAAAATTTGAGTACGTCCCAAGAAATAGCGAGAGGAAGAATGGTTCACGGACGGACGACGGACGACAGACCATGGACCACGGAAGAAGATTTGAAACCCTCACCATCTGATGAATGTGTAATAAAGCAAAAAAACATTTGTAATGCTTACCGTTTCTAAAACCGCATTCTCTGCAACATCAATGTCTTTGGTTTCGGGTAAGGTCGGCCAATGATGTATATCAAACGGTTCTTTCCGTACAAAAGTAAACGGCTTCAGCTCTAGCTTCATAAACTTTTCTTTCTGCAAGGGATATAAAAAGCGTGGTGTAAATTACTTTTTACGATGTCAACGATATTACTGTAACTATCGCCATGAGGATAACTATAAGGTACTTATTCTAAACAATCACCCATAAGTTCAATTTTTCATTTGGTGGTTGGCTAGACGCCCGGGGTTCAGTTCTTCGAACTATCATATTGGTTTCCTTCGGGTATTCTGGTATCCTTTCACATGAAAGACCCCGCCAGTGCTTCAAATGTAATTAATTTAAGATGTAATTACATATTTCGCAATTGCTGTATGGTTTTATGGATGAAAATAAATGCGAATATGATCGCAATTTCAGTTTGTGCTGAATACATAAGAAAGATAATTTCACAAGAAGTTGTAGGAGTTGCTCCGAAAAGTACTTTTTCACAGAAGGACAGACTTCCTGATTCCAGAACGCTTCGCAACTTTGTTGCAGGTTGGAGGGCAAAGAAATAAAGAAAATATCAAAATATCAACGGAAATATATTTCAAACACAACTTCGATGAAACAAGGGCAAAAATGAACAATGAGTTTTTTATGGAAACTCTTGAAAGAAGAATAACACAAGGTATTCATGTAGGGTGAGCGTCTTCTGCTTCATCGACAACACTCGCCTGTTGTGTAGCATTTCAAAATGAGATCAAGGTAAACAACAACCGAACCATCAAACACGCCCAGCTTCATGTAAAATTGAATATCTCGTAGAAATTATTATGACGACCGTGAAACGTTCCCGTAATCTTCCTCAATCTGCATATCTCGAGACTTTGTGATGTAATTTTTGTTTGTCGACATCTTCCACGAAAATCGTGATACAGGAACAATTCCTTGAATATCGAATTAGCCGAGACATCTTGTGATTTAAAACAGAAACATTGCTGGAGCGTAATGACTAAATATTAAAACAACTTAACATCAACGTAATCTGACGAAATGTATGCAAGTTAGTGACATTTTTATGTCCTTTACCGATGCCCTCTAAAAATATTTTCTAATCTTAAAACCGTAACATCGTTAGGCCAATACTATAAGGTAGACTGGCAATAAACATTTAATGACATTCTAAATAAAGAAATCTTACCAAGTTTGAAACGTCAAAGTTTGTGTAAAATTTGTTTTCCTTGGCGTCATATCCGTAGTGAAAGTGCAGTGGTGATCCTGCCTGCATTGCACCTCGTACTGCAGCCCCACTCTTGAAGTAAAACGCGTCTACCATCATCGTTCCTTCCATTTCCATGGCAGCACTGAAAGTATTCATATGGATCCGCTTTGAGATTTTAAAACGTGCAGTTCATTACGTGCTTTGCTAACCTACGGATATATGTAGACGTGTTGTAATAACTAAACAACATTTTTATGAACATAGAGAAAAAAGATAATATGTTATACAAACAAATTATTAAAATTGCGTCGCAGTGGTTGAATGATTACCTTGGGTGAATGTGGAAAGATGCCTCAACTTTTCTTTGGAAATTGCCATTGCTATTCTTGAATAAAGAAGGAGTAGCCATGACTGAAAATGTCCCTTCGGCTTTCATGAAGGTAGAACCATGCATATTCATCCATATTGGGAAACCAGCTTCAGATGCAAACATATGTGTAGCATCATACAAGACATATGACTTGTAAAGATTTAGATTGGTCCCCACTCTAAGTTCCTCTTCATGTACCGGCAACTGGATTTTGCCTACAAATTCAAATAAGCACTCATAGATCTATTTGATGTTTTACTTTTATTAGAGACACGCGACACCTAAGATAATATTAAACTTATATATAACAGACAACTCAAATTTCATAGGATACCGTTATCATAAATCAAAATTATTGATATGCATGACGTGAAAAAATATGTGAAGCTACATACCTTGTCGTAGCAACCTTTCGATGAACTTGTAAGTAAATGGAATGTAACTAACTTCATTTCCAAAGAATTTGAAGTAAATATGCCCTTCTGTATCTGGTGACTGGCGGGGAGAAACATTCAACTGTAAAATTAAGAAAGGGTTAGACGTTCAAATATGTTAACAATACATCATAATTGTTCCACTTTATCAACGACATATTTAAAATATCGAAATTGCAATGTTGATATTTCATTTTAAAGTTTGAATGGAGGCACTCTTTTACCTGCTGGTGAATATCACGTATGTTATTCTGGTCTTCTCTGTTGTCATCTAAGCTTGACCAGTCATCATTAGATCCTGACTGTGGCAGCGGTTCAAGCATATCAAATGGAGATTGACCCTTCATCCAAACACTGTATGGCCCCATCATTTTACTAAGTAACTTCTGAATACCTTCAGAGTTGTATCCGGCCTGATCAAATTTACAGTAAGTGTTTTCATTACAATTTTGTGATGATTGGTCTTTGTCACATTAATATATTAAAATGTTCAATAAAGTACAAGCGAACCAAGTAAGTGAAAAGCTTACATAACATAACAGATAATATCAAAAAAAAAAAGAATACCTCCATGACATCAATATGGCGACCCAGAATGTTTGCACGGAAATTTGCAGCAGCAGAAGTGGGTATGAACTCCTTTGATGAGGAAAGGAAGCCTAAGTCCATCATTACACTGGTTTTCAATTTGTCTGAAAGACGAATGATGTCGAAATATATAGATCTATTTTAACGTTCATATCCGTGATGACTAATGGTGACAACTGATCCGAACGTCATAAGTGCTCAGTGATGATTTCTTTCCCTTTTTCGTTTTGTTTAGAGATTTCCGAACAAGATTGATATGTTTGATAAAAATGCAGTAGCTAACTGGCTGTAATAATCTGATGCACTGATCACGGGAGATCGGGTAGTTCGGTGGTTTAGTATCTTAGTCTGAGTCTTTCACAGAGGCGTCAGCGGTTCGATTCTCTGTGTACCTCGAGAACTGATGTGGTCATCAGAACTTAATCATTATAACTAGTTGCAATAGTTATAAACTAAATAAACTTGATAAGAAATACTCGGTAAACGTCTCTAATTAAAATGTCTCCAGACCTCAGGACCAATGAGACGTTTTGGACTGTAAATACTGATATTTTTGTGGATTTTTCTAGTTATATTCTACAAATAAAGAAAATTACTAACCGTCATTCACAGAAGCGTGCATATATCTTGAATAATGATACTTAGGATCATATTTATTGGCAAAACGCATGGCCCACGTTGAATTCTTCACCCTGTTGATAATAAAGAAAACAATACAGATAATAAATACAACACCAGTGTTGTTAAATAATATACTGACAATAGGTAATTGTACTAGCAACTATTTACAGTTTTGTGGATTTCTGTGTGCGATTGATTCACACGATATCATCGTCCTTCATGAAAAAATCATATAACTCGTTGTACATAGCAAATTACACTTTCAAGTAGCATTAAATACAACAAAATATTGGTTGTTGAAATGTTTTGTAGTAAGATGGTTACACTTTATATTCAGTGATAATTTAAGTGATGATTAAAGTGTAAGAAAAACATATTATTACATGTAACAATTGCGTTTTACTTACATTGACATCATGCAGGGGTCAGAGCTATTAGAGTATTGTTCAAGGAGACTGTATACGAATGTTCCAATGTTTGGGTTTGTTTCGTGGTTAAGATACTGTACAGCCATTTCCAGCATTGGCCTCGGCGGGTGAGCGGTGAAAAACACATAAAATGCCACTATTCTGATAGGTTCTGGTTCAGTTTTGTCGAAGTATCGCGGAAGCAGCATTTTTCTTATCTGTAGTTATAAGAGTAAATATAGGAATATGTATATGTATTCTTGAAAATAAAATGATACTGTATATGTCTTCTCCAAAGAAACATGAAGTGGATACCAAAGGACAATAAAAAAACAAACAAATAGACAAACCAAACAAGGCAAGAGTAAATTAAATAATTATATTAAAAGAAAACTATTCATAATAATATGTTATAACTTACAACTTCTGGTTCGATGGAAGTCATTTTTCTTAAAGCAAACATTGCTTGTGACCTAAGAATATATGGCTTCGATTTGTCATAGATGATGTTTTTGAGGTCTGGAAGGAATTCAGTAATACCGGCGTTTCCAATAGCTTTCAGAGCCATAATATTGTCTTCTTCCACATTAGATCGAAGGAGTGTTTGAGTCATCTATAAACATGAAAATATTATGTTGGTAAGAGCATGAATACAGGGGACATAAAAAAAGAACAGACACTAACACAAAAAAATGATAACATTGAAAGTTTCAACATGATGTAGCCTGACGCATTTCAAGATAAATCTTGTGCCGTTTCAATGACTGGCAAAATGGTTTAGATAAGGCATAAATTATATAATACCTGTAGGAACTCTTCTTTTAAACCACTCATTAAATTCGCTTTCATTTCCAACTTCGATTCGTATTGCGCCAATTTCTGTTTCAACTCTCTCTTGATTGGTCCTGGATTTTCAGACCGTTCTACTTTCTTAAGCAATGCCTTTTCTTTCTTGATCTCCATCATCTTCTTCTCATGCTGTGTGTTGATTTTGTTCACCACAGCGCCCATACACAGCCACGCAGCTATCTTAGTATCTTGGTGTTGATCAATCCATGGGAGTTTTACGATTTTCTACAATATATAAATGTTATTCCATAAGCAAGTGTATCAAACACAAAAATACTTGTGTAAAACACACAGGTTTATATTATTTTTCTTTTAATCAAACCATCATACTCTGTTCTGAGCATTTATAAATCTAATAAAAGAATCGGTCACAAATTCTTAATTTATGTTAGATGTTTATGATAGTTACATGTATTTACTGTGCATAAGGATGAATGGCCTATAAAATAACAATGACATCAGAGACCTAACTACCCGAGTAAGTGACAATACAGGTCTCTGATGACGGCATGAAAGTCTACTTAAGTCTTACTTAACAGATCACTTATATTCACACTAAAAATATTATCTAGAAAATAAACATCGATAATGACAGTCCTTAATAAGCCATTAAAATATCACCAATTGCATAAATTTACCTGAATCCACTTCGCAACACAAATATCCGGCAAAGAATATATGGCTAGATTACCAAGAACCATGGCTGTCTCATATTCTGTCATTTGTGTGGCTTCGATTGCAGTTGCCATGACGTATGCAGCAGCTGGAGTACCGGCTGTCGGCATTATATCAATCAGAATTTTTCTGAAGAAAAATATTTTAATACCAATGCAAACTAAATCAAAATTCATCAAAACCATATTTCTATGAGTTAGCAACGAAGTTTTCATGAAGAAGAAAATTTGACGGAAATAGCGCTCTACTTATGTTATTTTTACAACAATATCTTCTGGAGAAGGATCGATATCAAGATTTCAAACAGGGGGCTTTGACAGCCACCATGGACAAGATAAGGGACTATCTCTGTACCATACACATCTCATTGCTGAAGGCCATTTATAAAATTTCCTTCTTTGAAAGCGAAGTAGCTTAAAAAATATTTTCATGTGGCCATCTTGAATGCGGCACGTGTCCTTTTTCCAGACAAGGACATCATAACAACATAAACAATTCATAAATGAAAGTCCTATCTCGATACAACTTTACATTGAAAGAGTAGCTAAAGATTTTCAAGATGGTGGCACGGTTCGAGAGCCGTATATAAATTACTCACAAGGTATTGCAACAAAATTAAAATGAAACTGACCTGATGCGGATCATTGACGGGTCTGTACTTGATGGATTTCCATAGCGAGTCCAAAACTTCATTAAAACATTATAATCAGCTTGACGGAATTCTACCAATATTTTGGCAAGGAGTGTTGTAGCTTCTTCTCTAACTTCATGCTCCGTTAATGCGGATAGTGAATTCAACAACTTTTGGATCTGAAACGAATATAAAAGAACAAAGCACTTACTAGCTGCTATGATATGTTTAAATTACAGAAATCAAAAGTACCTTCCATTGAATATACAAGTTTTACATATAATGAAGATATAGTATCAAAATTACCGAAAATTATTATTTGCATGGCTTATTTGCTCTGTATTTTATTGCTCTGTAATTTATTGAAACATATCCCTGACGGGCAATCATAACATCCCCCTACGCACCACCACACACACACGAAAGTGTTGAAGGCCAAGTACGATCCTGCACACACAAACAAAAAATACACCATACACACACGCACACGCACAGACAAAAGTACAAAAAGAAATATAGGACGAACAGTTAAGTAAAAACTATTTCTTGTACATGTAGCGGTAGAAATACATCGAAGATCATGGTAGTTCTTATAGAATAAATATGTTGTCAGACTGTTGGTACAACGTGAATTTCAGTTTTATATTCTTTTTAAACGAAAAGGCCCGGTTAGTATGATAATCTTATACCTTTTTCGACCTTACATTTGAAAAATTCTCTTGGAATCAATATTTGAGATTTCCGATAGAATATTAGGAATACCTATGATATTTAGTTTATAAATAAATAAATATTTGGAAAATAATTTGTACATAATACACATGAGAAATTCCATTGTTTCAGATTAGCTGTAATTTGACAAAAAAAAGACAAGCAGATATGTATTTATTATAGAAGAAATCCCAAGGGAATGCAAAGTCTATTAACAAAAAATTTAATACAAATAAACAGGACAACCTTGTAAAATAGGAAACGCCAAAAATTACTTTTACAAACATTTAGTTCACAATTCTTAAAGCACCGTTTCAGTATCCACCTGATTACAAAACTCAAAGCCTGTTGCAGTATTTCGAACTCTGATACTTCATGGCAAATTCAATATTCAAGATTTTTCAAAACTTTAAGCCATTGGCCCATCAGTACAAATTCAAGTTATGAAGATAAGAATTCCAAAACCTTCAGATCATAATACATATGTATCGTACTGTAAACGCAAGTCGTCTCTAATCATAAGTGTGTTAGTGGTATAAAGGTGGGAACCATATGTGTGTAAAGATCGTATTTCACAGAAAATTCGTCGTTTCAATTTTGTGGTTTGTTATATCTTACCTTGTGGTACCAATACGTAAACATAGATGTTGACGTTGACGGAATTTATAACGTAAACACATCAAAATTGAAAAGAAACCAAGAGCTTATAAATGCTTTTTATCTATAAGGTTTATCAGTCATAACTTTGAGCATTTTGTTTTTTTTCTGTAAAGACACATCGGATGGTTAAAAAGGAAGTGATAGTAATGCCATAATCGTGTATCGTGTATTGGTAAGGAGGGTATTACAGGCAAGCATATGATTCCGTTCTTACCTTCGCTTCTATTCGTTCCTGCTCGGCAGGCGGTCTACATTCTGATCCCGCAGGTGTGCACGACGTTGGTTCGCATCTATCAGCGTTATCTTGAGTCTCAGAATCATATTGTCTTAATTTCCACTGTTGTTCTTTCGGGTCCTTCATATCAACTACCTGAGACCGTAGATTGTATGGGTGGCTCTTTGGGTTCTGAAGGGATGGAATTGGCTCGGAGATATCGTTTGTCTTGGTCAGCATCAACGTTTGGCTGCAGGAGTAGAAATAAAGTTATATACATGATTCAGTTCCAAACAAATAGCATGTAACGCCAAGAAAGATATTCATATCAGTACAATAAATATATAAAGTAGTAAATATATTACTTGATGAAAGTGGCGACACTGCCTCCCTCTTCAGAATATTGTGTGTAGATATGTTGACTCTCTGCAATGGCACTTTCAATGATGAAGCTCCTATCCACACCTCTCAGATAGTAATACACCTCGGATGTCGATCTCAACGGTTCCGTCTAATCAATGAACACAATAACATAAACTCTCTCATATTTGTCTTAGACAAGTTTATACTTTTAAAAGCGTTTCTTTGTATGTCACAATTCAAAAAGGAAAAATATTCACGTTACAACAATGTCAGGATGATCTTTAATTATACATGTATTTTGTACTCAAGGATTAGCTTCAGGTTACTTGCAATGTTATTAAAGCTGTGATGTTTTTTAAATACACCTACCCTATCCTTCTCGCACTCAGCGCATACAAATTCGTTGAACATGGTGTTTGTGAACACTGGACGATTCACACATTTGTTGTAGTTTCTAATCTTGTTTAGTCGTATATAGGGGCCCATGTATGATGTCACGACAGGCATCCGTCTGTACAAAGTTTCACACTCACCAGCAACACTTGGCTAACAAAAATGTTCAAAATATTTATATTATTAAAAAACAGAAATAATGCCGATTATGTAAAATTCATATTATTTCACTTCTAGAATAAATAATCACTGAACTTATTGCAATAATCGTTAGTATGATGACATTTTTTTTAAATACAGAAGTTTACCTCAAGAACAGTGTAGAACTCGCTCTGGTCAGGTGTCATCTGATTATCGCTGTTTAATGGGGATGGCTTATCAAGTGTTTGGCGCTCGTCCATGTTCACTTCCAATAAACTGAGAAACCCACGTTTGATATCCATAGACCAATATGGATCATTTTGGTCACTCTGCAGGTCGCTGATGTGGCCTCGAATATAGCTAAAAAGAAAAATACGATTGGGTAATGTCTAAAATTATTCAAATGGTAAAAGGGGTGTCAGATACGAAAAACTGCAACTATACATTTAAAACGCTACAAAAGCTACAAAATATACGAATACTCGGATTCCATTTTCAAACCAAATAAAATTGTATACAGTGACAAACCTGAATTTCAAAGGCATCGCAAGCTTATGCGCCATATCTGTTGTTTCCGGTCCTGAGAGTTGTTGGAAAAGTTCTTCCGGAATTTGCTGCCTTGTTGGATCAAGACCATCAATCATATCGTTGATCTTGTACATCTCAACATCTTCAAACTATAAAAGTGAGTTTGATATTTGCATGAATTACATTGTCAGTGTGTCACAAATACACATGGTAAAGAGATGCGTTCGTTTTCTGTTAAACGCGAAACTATCCGCTAAATTCATTTGAATGCAGCTTTTATTTCACGTGTTGTGTGTAATTTGTATTACATATTACCATATCATGTTGTATCATTCAGTATTATAAATACCTACCTTGACCAAAACCTTTGCAGCTGTTTCAAAATGTAACTTTGCAGTGGCCTTTAACTTGAGTCCGGAATAAATCTTACTGCCTTTTGGAATACCTGTTACCACCTGTGTTTCATAGTCATACCAGTATTCTTTGTTTGGGACATAAGCTGACAAAGAAAAGATATTGATACATGTTTAAGCTACCAAATGTTCTCTTACACAGAAAATGTATTCTATTTCACCAAAATCGTTAGAACAGTTCTCTGCTCAATAGTTAGTACAAACCCTACATATTTTTAGTACATGAATAGCACCATTAGATACAAATACAATGAATAAACTACAAAATACAGTCGTTTTCTTCTAAGTGACTGCAGTCACTCTAGGGTAAGATATCTGCACACTAATATAGATAGAAAAACTAATTATCTTGGAAAGGAAAGCATATGTCAAACCAAAAATTAAACTGTGGTAACAAAAGCAGAGCGATATTTTTATATGTTCATGATATTCGAACAGATCATCTGTTCTGTCTCCGTTCTCCGATTTCCATTTTGAATAAAACAACAACGTACGTTTTCCGTTGAACGTTTCGTACCTGTACAGTTCGTTCTGACAGTAATTATCCTATCCAGGTAAGTTGCGCGAAAAACAATAAGGATCAATGCCGTACCTGTGATATTTTGGAAAATTTCCCTTGTACAGCGCTGTCGGTCACTTCAATCAGCTTTTAATTATGTCTTATCAGTGAAACGTTTACGGAGAGTACTCCGAAAATATGAGTACCAAAGTTATAAAGACATATATAGACATTTTATTTGCTATGTCGACGACGAGTACTTTGCGATGAGTTATGGTCAAGTGGACAGGTCACGAGAGAAACTCTTTGCCGAATTCGATACGAGGTATTGTTGATCATTCAAATTAATTTTTACTCCAGTTTAGTTCGAAGCACAGAACATAATTTACCGAATTGGGATTCCATTTTTAACGTTAGTTTTGTATTATTTACACTAAAGTAATGTGACAATTATTCTATTTACAAATTATTTAAAACGTTTTAATAACGATGTTGATTTTGAGTTTTAAATGATAAGACCGAGTTCATAAGCAAGACAATTATTCTGTTTTTTATTGGTCAAACGCTACCCGAGCATGTATACCTTATGGAATCGACATAAAAACGAATATTCGAATACTGAATCAGACGAATATTCGAATAATTTCTATCGCAATAACATCCTTTATGAAAAAATAACAAGTACGTAAAAATAAGACCCCACAATTATGAAACAATATTTACCTGCTTTTCGGCGTTGGGTACCAGCTGTAAGTAAGAAATGCGTTTATATCAGATAACTTCGAATAGTTCTTACAACATATAAAATACATCTCAATCTTCATAGTAAAACGTTCATTTTTTATTATTTAATTAGCTTTTGAAGGATAAATCATGCAAAGATATTGAAAAAAACATTTAATGGAATATCTGACCAGCAAATAACTAACATTTCAGTTGGCGTATATTTGATAGAATATCACATTCGAACACATTCTATGTCAAGTAAACGACGAACTCTTCAATGTGACAATAGAATATAATATCTAGCAATGATTGTACATAACAATAGCATTATCTACAAGGGAAAATTTATTGCTAAAGGTAATTTTGATCAATTCAATAATAGAAAATTGTAAAAATTATACTAATCATTTTGAAAAATTAAATAAATAAGTTAAAAAGTGTTCTCTTACCAGACAGCCCTAAGGCTACCGCCAGCATCAGAACTCGGAACATGATGAACAGACCGATGGGATGTAGAGCCGTTCATCGTGGTCAGTCCTTATATATCACACAATCTATGTCTGCAGGAATAGCTTAGCTATACTTTTAGATTTCCCACGGTAAAAAAGTATTTCATTTCTTTGTCTTGAACAATAGTGGGTTGGTAAATTTCCATCAGAATACATTGGTGTGAAATGCACATATTGACCCTATATGTCATAACAGTTTTTAAACTATTGTTACAATTTTTAGTATCTATGTTTGAATAACTCAACGAAAAACAAGTGCTTCAGAACGATGAAAATGTGTTTGTTAATCACAAAATAAAGGTCAAAATTAAGTTATGTTTGACAACCTTTCCTACATTCATGGTATTTGATTGACAGGAATACATATCACAGCTCCATCACGTGATCAAACACAACTTTATTATTGACCGTATTTCTCAAACTCGACACACATAATTTTTCGGAAATTCTTCCCAACAATGCTTTCAATTCGACACCATAATCACGTTACCTTTGTTTTGCGATTTGCCCAATGGTGATGATTTCTCATTTTAACCCGAAACGCACAAAATTTTCGGAAATTCCCCAAAAGAAAGTTATACTAATGACTTCAACTCGACATCATATTGCTATTCGGCAAAATGGGATTGTTTTCTTTTTTCATTGTTGATCGAATATTATAAAAAATGTCATTTGTATTCGAAAATGTATCTCTGCATATTGATTCAATACCAAAGTCTCAAAAAGTCGGATATATATAACCTTAATACATTGAACACGTGTTTTGTTATTGGAGTTTCTATTCCAAACCTAATCATCAAAGTAATATAACCAATTCAGAACGATTTCTGCAAAACGTGTTGGTGGACATTCATCACATCAAAACTTTTTTATCGCATTTATACCAAAGCATTATTTACAAACACCAACATATCTCGGATATATGACGAACAGTCCAAAATTCCCGAATCATGAATTTTGATTTCATGTTAATCATGCTGTGCACGAGTCTTCTTAATAGGTTAAATGTTAATCAGTGTCACTTGAGAAAATGTCTCTGCCTATAAAAAAATAATGACAAGTCATTTCAGAATAGTTCCGTAATAGTTCTTAAAAAGCTCTTCTTATGCCTTATCTCCACATAATTTTAATAAAACACTATAAACTTGTTTTATGGTTAGGTCACATTTTGTATGTTCGCCAAAGCCGTTGTCGCGAACCAAATTTATATCCGATCTTTATACAATACGAGAGAGAGTTAAGCAATAGTACCACATTGCAAAGGTTGGATGGCATTCATTAAAACCTTTTAACAATACGGTATTAAACCCGACTAGTTTAGTGATGTGATTCTTATAGAATTTGGTGAAGTGCTATCCGATGAAATCCAAACATCACATATTTATGCAATAAAAAAGGAAGAAAAATAATACTCATACGTAGTGTTATGTTTAAATTGAATTTTCTACTACAGGGATATGGCATCTCGTATCATCATTACCTAGCAATGCTGAATTCGAAATCTGGATTTCTAACAATAAACGAATAATTTAGTATGTACAAAACTAACAACAGGAAATATCAAATTCTACTTCTGCACTAGTGCCCATCTATTCTATTTTTGATCCATTGGTGGGACTTCCTTATTGCCTACAAAATGTGTCTTGGGTTTATGACTTAATAAGATATCTATCAACTGTGACGTGTGTAGAACTGGACAATATCATAAAGGTAAAATACACTTTAATATTCAGGTTCTTTGTTGGTCGTATGCCTTGGATGCAACTTTAACTTGACATGATTTTTTCAACACAATTTTTTCTTATATGTATTGTATCTGTTGTATCGACATCTACTTAAATATATTGATGCTAACATTATGGTTAAACAGCTGTTTCTAAAATCGAAATTTAACCACTGCGACCTGAAATATGGGTATAAACCATTTCCTTTCGCAATTTTGTCGGTCTTAATTCAAGTTATTGATAAGCCAAATATCGTCATTCTTGGCAAATGTGCTATTTCAGAAGTTGTTTTAAACAAATTAGACTCCTGTGACGATGGATGTGGGCCATCTCATATCGCAAACTTTGTTGGTCAATATCCAATAAACGTTTTAGCCAAATATCTTGATATTCGGCCTCTTGTTTTATGAGAAGTCTTTTGAGTATTCATTCAACTTTGCCCTTGGTAGCATAAAGTGTTGATCAAAGTCATTTGTTTTTGCATACTTTATCAGACATCACCCCCAGTAATCTACCAATCATGTATCACGACCCTGTACTTAATGGTCCTTCGGAAAAGGTCTTTTAAAGAAAATGACGGACGACAAGCCGTGGCCTCATCTCAATTACCGTTTGGGGCAAAGCGAGATAAGAATGAATCACGAGGTATATATAACAATATAACAAGTTTTAAAAGAACGGGAATCAGTATGTTAACTCTTCTTATATAATTCTCTTTGTATGATGCACTGTTGGGCTTGAAACATTATTCCAGGCCCCACCCCCTCCCTCCCTCCCTCTTCCTTATTTCCAATTACTTTAATTGAAACACAAGCAACATAAAAATACACATAATGGTTCCAATAAATATAGTTAGATAGATGGCAGAAGTTAGTCATATATATGTAATACAAATCCGAGACAAAGTTTATGTTGGTGCAACGATAAAAAGTCCTGCCATGGTCATCGGACATGTTCCTTTCTTAAACAAATCATAAAACTCTAGGTCGTCATACAGAATGGAATCGTAACGTTGTATCTGGAAATCAATTAGATGAAAGTAGTATCATATCTTGATTAATGTATAACATTTAGGAAATGGTCGTCTTTATCTTCACGCCTCTATCATCACGTGGAATTCTAATCGATCGTATGAGGTGTAAGAGACAGCCGGCATTTTCATCTTACTTTGTAAAATCACTGACCAAAATGTTTTTCTTTTCAAACGACGAAACTGATTTCTTATGTCAAATCGTACCAAGTCTCTAACTAATATATATATTGTGAATTAGCATTTACTTTACATGTCCTTTTATCCATTTCTTCGGCAAATTTTAGACAACAGAAGGGTCTGCATACTTTGTCTATATTTCGCAATGTGTCGAGTGTTTTAGAATATTATCTAGGTGAATGTGACCGCAAACAAAACTAACTAAATGTTGAACAGAAGTCAAAATCTGAAGAGCATGCGAGTACATGTGTACATGATACTGACCTCCGATACATTTACGAGACATGTTTGCATAATATTATTAAACGTATGACATTAAACATTGTCACGAGGTAGAATAATGAAATTATTATGAAGTGCGTATTAAGACGCAGTTAAGTCTAAAAGTATCTACTGAAAAGTTATATGCATTAGATAGTGTCTTTTATGCAATCAGCAGTAAATTAATTTCGCAATATTAATACATGCTTTGAAAAGATCAATTCACTACAATTCTCACAGTAAAATTTATTGTGTGCTGTAAATCATCTGTGAGAATTATGAACAGTTTCAAAACCACATTACATCATTCTGGAAAGGCGTTTATATCGGTATACAACAGCCGTAATGCCTCCCTGAATTCTGCCAGCTCTGCCTCTGTTTTAGCAATCCTCTCTAAACCAGCGAATAGTTCTTGGAGTTTTTCTTGGACAACTTTCCCTTGTTCTTCATAAACATGAAACATCTTCTCTTCAACTAAAGCACAGGTCCTCTGAACCTGAAACATTTTTTTTATTTCACATAAAACATCCTGACATAAACATCTGCATAATTTCCAAACTTTTAGCAAATTGTTTAATTTGAACTAGAACAGATTTCCTGTATAAATTAGTTTATTAAACTTCCAATTATACCAGTCAATTTTATATCACAGTTGTGTGGATCACAGATGTACTAGATAACCAAATACTCTACAGTGTATCCAAGTATTATCCTTAATTTTGTTCATAATGTAGATGACAAACTACTGCTTACCAACAGTGTTATTTTTCAGCTGATACGTTACACCATACAAAACTTCAAAAATTTTACTTTTCATCATTTTTGTCATTACTACGCATTCAGATCGTAAAAAGTTTGCATCACAACTTAAGGGTATAATACAAGTGTCATTTCACCGTTTTTTCTGTGGTGCAGACTTTTACGTGAGTCCACCCACCTGTAACTCTAGAGCTTTTTTGAAATCGTCTAAGAGTTGTGTATCTTGTTTCCTTTTGTTGTTGAGGTCATCAATAAGTGCGTTCGCTGCCGAGGTAATGTCCTCTCTGGTCATTACATTTGATATTCCAATAGCTGTGTCGTTATACTTGCTTGAACATCCTTGGTCACCACTTTCATTTACCAGTACCATCGGCGCTCCTTCGGTAGCCTTGCTGGAAAAAGCAAACAAACAAACTATGCCGTTGTATGATGATAAATTAACGATATGATTAATGTATAAATATGAATACTTTTGTCTCCATTTTACATCGGATTCTTAATTTCTATTTAATCAATTTAATTTTATTGAAGAATTAGCATCTGAGGTACATCAGAGGTACACTATATCGGATGATCACAGGTGGACACTTGTCAGACTACAATTATATAACAGTTAAATTGAATAACTACTCTGAGAGCAGCTTAAGAAAATCCAGCCCGAACTGTCACATGACACCATTCGGAACTAAAAAAAAAACGAAAAGAAAGGATAATAAAGATTATCAACTTTAAAAGAATGCAAAGCCTAGAGCATATTAAATAATAAATACCTTTGCTGCACAATTTCATGGTTTACGCAATCTGGATTTTCAGCATTTTCAGAAAATCTTTGTGTTTGAATAGGATTTTCTTCATGTGAAAACATTTTGTCGGTAAAGCTGATCTGTAAAAATATCAACTTCAAAAGAATAAAAACTGCACTGGCTCTGTTCAAGTCGCCTATATAGCGTAAAACGTGGTGCGCAATCTTATTGAAGCTATGCCGCAGCGTATGCCCTATTCTCGAACACCTGTTTCTAATCATAAATTTGAAGTAAAGAAAACGATATTTAATAAAAAGGAAATTTGGCGACGATCATAATGCACTCAGACGTAGCAGGTCAGTGAACACCAGAGAGGATCAAGGACGTATATTAACAACACATTCTAACTTGTAAACCTCTTAAATCCGTGTTCATTAGACAAAAGTTAATCATTTACTGTTCATTAGACAAAAGTTAATCATTTACTGAATCAAATAGCTGTTATTTGAGAAAATATAATCATGAATGGAATGGACGATAATCTCGGTCATTCAATAATACCGTCTTGAGCAGACGATCAATGAAGTGATGGACTTCTCAAATCTGACATGTAACAACTAAATGCTGTTATTCGGCATATAGCATTAACAAATGTTCTACATTTTATATCTATCACGTGGTTTGTAAAGGCCATTTACCCTTTGTTAACAGTTAATGGAAGAATGTATCGCTGCATAAATCGGAAATTACCGCTTGACTGACATCTCTTAAACCCAACCAAAGGGGCTGGCGAATATAGTTTTGTTTGTTTTCTTATTGGTTTCTGACAACCTTTAATTTTATAGCTTCCCATTGAGACGAAAACTAATGAAAAAATAATAAATCTTTTCCAGTTATCAAAATGTAGCGCTCATCAAGTTTACATTGTAATGTCATCGTTCTTAGTCATATCCTTATGTACCCTTGTCTTGTGATTATGGAATGGCCTCAATAAACATTGCCAGGGGGCGCGCATAATTTTGACCGTTCGGTACTTTTCTAGATGTATGCTCAATTCTCGATGTAAAGCCTAGAGAACTCAGACAAATAAGTTAATTGCTCTCCTGACACAGAAGAGCTGTGATTCAGACTTCAGAGGTTCGGCAATCTTTTCTATTTGAAGAACATATCAGAAGACATGGCTGGTGTTGTTTTGGAGACCTTGAGTTGGAAAAAACTCATTACGCTTGGAATTTTTCTTTTGGTTCTTCAAATTGTCTTCTTTCTGATCGGTGCTGTAATCGGTAAGGATGGTTTCGGCGCATCGCAGTCACCAGTAACTGCACCTGATGATCGTACTCGCTGACTTCATACTTATGTAGTTATAGTGGTTTTCAACAGCAGAAAACGTTACACATGAGAGGCTCTCCTAAATTAACGGCAACGTAGTCTATCATACTATAACCAATATTCACATATCAGACATCATGGCTACTGTGTAACTGTAGACCAAGTCGTTGAAGTTACTTTCTTGCACTGAGACTTAATAATTCAGACAAAGCTTCAGTATTATTACTACAGTAGACCACAAGTTTGATTTTTTTGTTTTGTTTAACGTCGTTTCAACGTATATGGTCATTAAAGTATTTAAAATATCTCGGTGTTACTATACAGTCCAAGATATTTAATGATGAAGATGCTTTAGGGAAAGACAAAAAAACTATGTTATGAATTGACAATCAAAGCCCACAGACAGGCATTGCTGGAGATAAACAGAATGACATGAAGAGTATGATGTAACATATATTTTTGTGCAAACTTCACAAGTGCTGGTGTGTTCCTTAAGAATACCAATACTTGATTGTGCTGAACTCTAACAACTTCAGTGATGTCATTCTGTGCATGTTGCCCACATGCAATCTCTGGGTCTGAATGAGAAATGAAAGTATTGTTTGATTTGAGTCTGAAAAGTAAACTTATTTTTTAAAGAATGTCTGCCTTGACTGTCAACTGTATATGATTTGTATCATAATAAGTGAATAGACAAACAAGGCTAATATCTGTGCATTCAAAAAATTGGTATACAAATTACTATATAAAAACGGGCATTTGCAGTCAATAGGTTTTGGTGTGTACACAGACAACATTAAATCAGGGGTGTAATAATGGAAGCCTGGAAACGGGTTTAGGGGGTTTGGCTTGAAAGAAGCTAGAAGAATTTTGCAAATAATTTACTTCATTTTAAAGGTAGATAAAATCATGTGTATGCATTGTGTAAATGCTATATGTCTTATAATTATTTTGCAAATTGGCATTTTGTCTACTATGCAAAGACATTTTTTATGCAATTTTAACTTTACGCTTGAATACATAAATTATGATTACTATCTTATAGCACCTGCACCAACTCATGTCATATCGATGACTGCCACTAGATGCTACGACAGAAATTCTTATCGAGAAAAAGACCGATGGTTTACGCCTCGTGGAAAAGGCGCTTGTGAAAGTCTCCTTAGTTTGGATCCAAGTGACAAGAAGATTCAAGAGGAAGGAATTACAGCAGAACAAGTTGTCTTCTCATTCTGGATTCCATGGCCGAGGGATGGACACCAGTTGAAAATGCATCGTTATTTCCAATTTCTCCTAGCTGTTCTGCAGCTAGACATTGAGTATGACCCACAGATTCCTCTAGGTATGGAGGCAAAGTTGAATACATATACACTCATGTCTGAATGTCATCAGTTATGTAACAATGATGTATATAATGATAACAAATATTGAATTTATCTGGTAACACTATACACTACATGAATAGGTATTACCTAGGTTTCAACTAAATATGTTTTTTTTTTATATGTACTTACATTTGTCATACATTTTGTGATTTTAGATTATTTTGAAATAAAATCGCAAATTAAGTTACCCAGTATGTCAGAAGAGCTACCAATTTTTGAGGGTCAGTTATGGTCAGCTAGCTTGCCTTGATCTGTAAAGAATTGAATTCAAATTTGAGACATTTTATTTTAAAGTTTAACATTTCATAAGCATTTTAGGAAAAAAAATTCAAAGCATGTACACATTCATTTGATTATATACAATATACATAATTTTTTTAAAATTTTTTTTTCAGCAAATAAAGCCAAATTGCAAATGGATATTCGTTTAGCAGCTGGCAACAAGGAGGATAATGGAAATTGGACACTGTTGGCAAGTTCAATGGAGGACAGAAACATTGAATGTGACCTAACCAAAAAGGTGAAAGTCTTTCCTTATTATTGAATATTATTTCTCTTGTTATACCAGGTGTCATTTGTGTTTTCTATCTCCTAGACTAGGCCAGTTATTGATCAAATACAGTTCTGTATTCTCTCATATTGAATAATTAATATATGTATTGTGTAACTGGTATCAAACATTGTGTTATCTTATAACCTAGAGTAATTGATTTCCCAGTCATACATGACAACACCATTTAACTCCAGTAGCCTACCTCAATAAAAATAAAATTCATGTAAGATTTTAATCGCTTTGTCTTAGGAAAAAGGTTTTTGTGTGATGAAAAAATATTTTCTAGAATGGTCATCCCTCAAGAACAGAACCAAAGCATTTAGGGTAGTTGTTAGTACAGAGAAATACAAGACATCATTTTGTGTTCTTTTCCTATGTTTTTTTTTTGTGAATCAAGAGTTGATAATAGAAAAGGAGATATACCAGTACTTGCTTAATTCTGAATGATACATAAAAAAGGGCGCGCAACTGGGGTATAAAGTCAGATAGACAATACAGCACTCATTGACTGACTTGTCCGTTTCCTTATTTAAATTACACTATGATAAGCTAGAATATTTGAACAATAATCTACCTTACCTAGATTATTGTTCAAATATTTGGGGACATTGTTCTCAGACTTATATTAAACTAGAGAGATTACAGAAAAGAGTTTTACGTATAATTATGAATGCTGACTACTCTGTATCAGGGGATGAACTATTCACCAAACTCAAATGGTTACCTTTTAGCAAAAGAGTGAACTACAATGAATGTATACTAATGTATAAAGTAGCTTACAAACTGTGTCCAAACTACTTGGACTGTAATATGCTTGTGTCCAGTGTACACAGTATACAAACTAGGGCATCTACTGCTGGTAACTATATCATACCTAAACACAAAACTGAAAAGTTTAAAAATTCCTTCCTATATACTGGACCAACTTTGTGGAATCAGCTTCCAGTAAATATCAGACAATGTGGAACCTTACCAACTTTTAAGTTTCATTGTAAAAAATTCATCTCTAATTTACCAACCTAGATCCACATTTTTATGCCAGTGTTATTTTAGCCCTAAGATAGTATGGTACCTTTATGAACGTTGCCAATTAATTGTTTTAATTATCAGTCCTGTATCCCTTACAAAACCTCGCTAATTTAGTCCTTTTATTATATTATTAGTCACTCTATAACCATTATTTATACCTCTTCACTATGTGCCTTTATCATTTCATTTGTTTTATTGATGTACATCTTAGTCCTTCATAATTATGCTAGTTTACTGTGATATTTGTGATTTTTATATCATGTGTGATGCTGTAATCTTAATGTTGTATATATTGTACATTTTACTGTCGACCACTTGTTAGAAGAGTCTTGTACTCAAAGTGTTAAATAAAGTCATTTATTATTATTATTATTATTATCATTAAAGAGCAACAAAATGAGTGTTGATTAGATTAAATTAATCTTATCATTTCTTAAGACAAACATTGGGATTTGCATGAACATATTGATTAGATTGAATAAATTATACCATATTAATGTAAAAATCCTCTTTGTGTTTACAGATGGATAAAGGTGACATCTACGACTGTGACCTACTTCAGCTGTTTGAGCTTGGCAGTGTCCACTACCATTACTATCTAGTCAACATCCGGTTACCAACATTTCCATTGAAGGGCGTCAACATTGATATCGGCAAGATTGTTGACATGCACATGCATGTAAGTCTAAGGTCATCTATATGCATGTTCATTTACGTTGACTTGAACATCGTTTAGCCGCTGTCAACATGTGTAACATCATTTTATAAAGATGACAATGGTTGGATATCTATGGGTTAGACTGCAGACAAGAAAAATTCCTTTAACACACAAGTAGTCAACAGTCGGATTAATTGTAAATATCAACTGACAAGATTTTATTACACAAATTTAAATTTGGATTGCTAGCATTATAGCAATGACTGGGAAAGCGACCCATGATGCTCTTTTTTGGTAGGTTATCTCCCTTGTGTTATATGCTGCTCAACTAGATTTTTATTCATTTTCCGCAGGGAATTCACCAAAATGGAGGCTTTAGTTTTGTGTGGTTCAGTTTGAAGACTGCGATGTTTCCCATGATTCTTGGAATTTTGATCTGGTTCTGGAGGAGAATAACTCAGATGTGCAGACCCCCAAATCTTCTAGAAAGGTAGGTTTCCCACATGTGAAAATACCATACTTCTAAACTTTGAGGAGTGGTGCGCATGCTTCACTACACCTCCAAATTTTTGAGAGTTGTGAACCCCTCAATAACACCTCCAGAATTTCTGGTCATGACACCTGCAAATTTTCTGTATGTGAGAGTGAGGTGTACACTTCTCAACACTTCCAAATGTTTTGGAGTAATGTATTCTCCATAAGTTAAGCTACCATATCTTCAAACTTTCAGCATCTTTATGTATGACAACTTTTTCTGGTAAATTTCACTTTCCAGGATATTTGTTAGTTCAAGAGTATTTATTTTCTTTATTTCTCGTAACCTCACTGATTAATTTCATATAAAACTCCAGGATTGTTTTTCTAACTACATTGAAGTGAGATTGCACAAGTGTCTCAAGCTTCTGTTAGGTTACTTTTGATTTTTGAAGATGTGTTACTGCGACACCACCATTACCTTAGACTTACATCAATCAAAAAACATTGTCTTTTATTGTCGCTGTTCAATCATTAGCACTACATGTACCTCTCAATGCTAAACTGTGTTCTGCTATAATGGTTACAGTGTTTGTTCTTGTACCTTTCAGGACACTGTTTTCCCTGGGAATTGTCATGACCATCCTGAATTGTGAGTATACCTATTTAAGTCAATGGTGTTAGCCTACATGAGTAAATGTTGACTCTCTTGTATACTTTATCTTAAACTTTATTAATCATTTACTGTCCGAGTCATCGTTTTTCCTTTAAATTATTTATCCTTCAGTCAGTCCAGAAGGCCAACACATGTATGAATCCTCTGCCTCCAAGTAAAGGATGGAATTATTACATAATGATATATGTTAGTATTCGTATATATGATCTTGGTGTTATTGCTGAATAACTATGCTGCTCTCTTGCTACAACTACTGGTAAAAGCAATCATGCTTTTCTGTTATTTACCTCTGCAATTAGTATTCGTCTGATATAAAGGTGTTGTCCTATGTTTCATTGGTGATAAGCCATTAACCACTGTTTATTGTTCTGTGTTCATATGATGTACGTAAATTCCAATGGAAATGAAACACCCAAGTGTTGCATTAGTAAATGTTAGAAATGAAGTAAAATACTTATTAGTTTAATATCTAGCAACTTTATGAAAAATTAGACATTTTGACTAAATGTTCCGATGTATAGTATTTCTATCATACAGCACCCAAAGATGAGAAAATGAAATATAAGGCAAGTTCTTCTTGTACAGGTCCAATTGAATGGTTTACCTTGGCTTTTGACATCCCATTCATGCTACTGCTCAATGACATACGACAAGGAGTATTCTACGCTATGCTTCTATCCTTCTGGATCATCTTTACTGGAGAACATGTCATGGTTGGTCATTTTCATAAGATCAGTGTTACTTAACGCTCATGAAACTTGCTTTCAGCTTTTTGCAAAATTAATAAATTGATTGTGTGATGCTCGCCTATTCATCGTCATCGTCGTCATCATCGTCACTACTACTACACTCATAAGAAATATAAAGAAAATCTGAAGTCCCCTATTCTTCAGATGTGATTTGTTTTCAGTCTAGTTTCTTTGCTGAACTTTAACACAAGGTCAAATTTATTTATACCTATTAAAACTTTTAATCCATTTCTATTGAATTTGTGTTCAGTTTGTAACTTTCAAGATATTTGCCTGTGATGGTAATGGTAGACGGCTGTTCTTATTACTGTCCAACTTTATACAATTGTATTGTGTAAAAACATACCATGTACAACAATTCGGTGGTATAAATGTTTGAGGTTTCTTTCACAGGATCAGACCGAGAGGAACCGCCTATCTCTTTACTGGAAACACTTGGCAGCTGTTGTGTTTGGCTGCATCTGCATGTTTGTGTTTGAAATGTGTGAAAGGTACAACTTGAATAAGAATCTTAACATTTCTCAGACTAAGACTAGCACTATACTGTGAGATCAAGATTTACTGTTGTTTAACCAAGAATCTGCAAAAGAATTTACCAGACAAAATTATAGTTAAAAGCTTATAGATATTGATAGATGTACAAAAGACTATTTCCAGAAATTCAGTAGATGTTTATTTTTGGTCATAGATGCTTGTAAATACTGGTACATTGTATTTTACTGTCACACAAATAGATTACTTTTGAAAGATTTGATTTATGAATGATATGATACTGAATCTCTTGTGCGTGTTTATACATACAAAATACTACACATTCATGTCTTTTTTTTTTTATTTACAGAGGTATCCAGTTAAAAAATCCATTCTTCAGTGTTTGGACAACACCTACCGGTACCAATCTGGCTGTATCCTTGCTTTTTTAAAATGATTATCTCCCTTACATAACCAAAATGTGGATTGATGGATTTAAAAAGTCGACGATTCCATTAGAGGTTCATTTGAGTTTGGTCTTAGTGTGCTAAATCAAAGAGAGATATCCGTGTCTTTTATGTCACATATTGTACACAAGACAAGCTTGTTTACCTGACAAGCACATGTCCAGTGTGAAAGAATCAACTTTAAGATTTTTTTTTTTTTTATTAAATAAACAAAAAATAAAATCTCATCATATTATATCTGTTAACATTATAATATAGAATCTTTCTTGGGTTTATTCTTCTCTGTTTCTGTTCACATATATCAATTAAATTGTGACATGGAATCTATCTATCAGTTTCTGATAATATATATCAATCACATTTCTAATATAGAATCTGTTCTGAGTGCATACTTCTGTGGGTTTTTTTTTAATATAGTCAGTTAAATTGTTTTATAGAATCTATCTTGAGTACATACCTCAATGTTTCTTTTGATTCACATTTATATCAATTAAAATTTTATTACAGAATCTGTCCCTGAGTGTATACAGAATCTGTCCCTGTGTGTATACAGAATCTGTCCCTGAGTGTATACAGAATCTGTCCCTGAGTGTATACAGAATCTGTCCCTGAGTGTATACAGAATCTGTCCCTGTGTGTATACAGAATCTGTCCCTGAGTGTATACAGAATCTGTCCCTGAGTGTATACAGAATCTGTCCCTGAGTGTATACAGAATCTGTCCCTGAGTGTATACAGTGTATACAGAATCTGTCCCTGAGTGTATACAGAATCTGTCCCTGAGTGTATACAGAATCTGTCCCTGTGTGTATACATAATCTGTCCCTGAGTGTATACATTTGTCCTGCTTTGGTTCTGTTGATAGGCTGTATGTCAATGAATCTATTCTCCGTATTTTCTTCTCTTGTTTTTTCATAATGTTTCAAGAAGACTTTTGTTATTGTCAGCTGGAGATATAGAAAAGATACTATTTATAACCCCAGAGCATTGTATTGTGTGAATTTTTGTTGGAAAGTTTGAGATTTATATTAACCTAACAATCTTCTCAGCTGGCATTCATCATTCTGGCAGGAGTTGCGGCATGTTGCTATTTCCTCTTCCTGTGCTATATGGTTGTGTGTGTTTTCAAAACCATCAGTGCGAAACGGATGACTCTGCCCAGCATGAGTAGTCTTAGGAGGCGCTTCTACATGGTAAGTTAAAACTATTACAGCTGAGCTAAATTGTATAGCTGTTTGTGTCTATGTGGATAGAGTAGAAACAACGCTCACTACAGATTTATTGGTAGTAATGTATAGTGAGGTACATGAACAACACCAATATTCTGGACAGTAGAGCTTCTTATCAGTCTTATTCCGAATCAATTCCCTATAATTTGGGACTCACACAACAGATTTGGAATTTATTTTCTACATGAACATCTGATCAGATTCTGGTTTGCAATGGACAAAGAATTTCCAATCTTTTGACAGGTTATTGAATTGATGTTATTCCAAAAAACAATCCAAACAATGTCTTCTGTAATTGTTTGATGCTGTTACTTGGTCTGTTATGATTCATTTGATGTTTCTTTTGTAGGGCCTCATCTACCGGTTTAAATTCCTGATGCTGGTCACTCTGTTTTGTTCTGCCATGACTGTCATTTTCTTCATCATCAGCCAGCTGAGTGAGGGTCAGTGGAAGTGGGGAGATGAAGATCTCAATATCCAATACACCAGTGGATTCTTCACCGGTCAGTATAGCCTACACCTCTCTACCATGTAACCTACCACATTCATCACCAGTCAGTATAGCCTACACATCTCTACCATGTAACCTACCACATTCATCACCAGTCAGTATAGCCTACACCTCTCTACCATGTAACCTACCACAGTCATCACCAGTCAGTATAGCCTACACATCTCTACCATGTAACCTACCACAGTCATCACCAGTCAGTATAGCCTACACATCTCTACCATGTAACCTGCCACAGTCATCACCGGTCAGTATAGCCTACACTTCTCTACCATGTAACCTACCACATTCATCACCAGTCAGTATAGCCTACACATCTCTACCATGTAACCTACCACAGTCATCACCAGTCAGTATAGCCTACACATCTCTACCATGTAACCTACCACTGTCATCACCGGTCAGTATAGCCTACACATCTCTACCATGTAACCTACCACAGTCATCACCAGTCAGTATAGCCTACACATCTCTACCATGTAACCTACCACAGTCATCACCAGTCAGTATAGCCTACACATCTCTACCACGTAACCAAAGAAGGTCGGAATGTAGAGACAAAAATAAATATGTATTTTTTTGTTCAAATTAATACTAATGCTTTGTGATTGTACTCATTTAACCCAGCAGCTGGTGGGCTGGTTGTTTATCATCTTTTTATTCTTAAACTTGTAAATGCCTTAAAGTATCATATGATAATACATTCTTTATTTAATTGGTATTTACAAATTTTGATTGTCTTTAATGCATGCCTGAAAGTTTTTTAACAGCTTTTCTATTCAAATTTAAATGCAAAAAAAATTATATCTTTTAGTTGAAATACATCTTTGTTTTTAAACACCTCAACTTATCATAGTGTTGTTTTTTCATGTGTGTTTTTTTTTTTTTTGTTTCTTTTAGGTGTGTATGGCATGTGGAACGTCTACATCTTTGGATTGCTGTCCATGTATGCTCCCTCTCACAAAACAGTGGTGGAAGTTGGTAAGCATTAAATTTACTTACAGAGGCAACTTGTGTGGGAGTGTCCTGAAGATTTTTTAAAGATTTCTTTTCTTTTTATTTTTTTTTTGTTTGTTTTTCAAATTGATTATTATTTATTTTGCCACTTTCAAAATTACAATTCTTATGTAGTTCATAGGTCTCTATTTTCATCCCCATTAAAAATTGCGGCTGACATTAAACTTTTACCTCAAAGTAAGTAATTTTGATATGACCAGATTAGCAGTTAATATTTCTTGTGGCATACACACAGAGTATGATATTGTTGCAATATAACAATGTTACACTAGCAGGTTGAGTAAAAAATAGCTGGTCATTTTCAAGGAGATGATATTTTCACTATTTTACAGTACATTAATGTGATCACAAAAAACTACTCCATGAAGTAATGAGACATGAGTGTATTATATGCCCTTTTACATTCAGATCACCAAATTTTAATTCCTTGATATAGTATTCGGCTGTTTTGAAAAAAATTCATGAAAAGTTTTAACCCATAAAATGACCAGATATATGGTGTTAAACTATCAGTATAGTATGTCCTGACAGATTACAATAATATATCGTTAACCACTTCAGATGCTGATGAGAACAGCCAAGAAGAATCTGTCCAGCTGACGCAGCTTCCTTCATCCAGTCTCCCCGCCGAGACCTCTGCCCTGCAGGCTTTTGTCAGCAAGAGCGCCCAGGAATAACCAAATTATGTGTCAGTGGTAACTGCTGCATCTTCAGAAACCTAAAAACTTTTCCAAAATTGTCTTACGAAAGAAGCAAGTTCTTTGTCATGTGTATTTGATGATTTGAAAGCATTAATTTGAAGACCATTTGTTTGGCTGACTACTTTTACAAGGTTACTGTCTCTAGATGAAGGAAGTTGATTGAGGTTTGTATGAACATGTAAACTGCAATAATATCTATAGTAATCATTTATGTTTTGTGTTTGTACATTGTGAAAATTCATTTACTTTTGAAAAGTATCTGTTACATTTCTTCTGCATGCTATTGTTTACAATAAATAATAGTCTTCCTTTATTATCAATTTTATTGAGAAATGACTATTTATATGTTGTGTCTCTTGTACTGAAGCTGTACCAATATATCTTGGTATCATTCACTGAAATTTTTGTACTTAAACCCTCAAGTACTGGTTGACAATAACCTACAGGTATTTTCTGCTAGCTCTGATTAATGTGACATTGGAGGAATCTGTTATTCCTGTCATTTACCGCTTCTGTCCAGCACAATCTAAATGGAAGCAGCAACATCATGCCTCTGTTATGGTCCTTTTAAGGACATTTTAAGACAACCAGCAAATCTGTAGTAAAATTATTTTATTTTAATGAAAATTTCTTGAAACGAAATATCTACTATCACATAATGATTTGTTGAATAAAAACAGTTATCATCAACTAAAATGGAATTATTAAACTACGGTCATGGAAAGCATTAGTTTCAGCTTCCAATTAGCCGGTCAGGTCATTCCACATAGGACTACACTAAGGGCATTGAGGGGCATGTCATGATAGCAAATGACAAATAATTATCTATCTGGACAGAAAACTTGGAGCGTTCAGGTTGTTTTATAAGCCATGCAATATTCTGTTTCTCTTTGCATACAATAAGTACTGTGACAATTGTGTTAATATTGGATTAGGTCAATGGAAGGTTAGATGGTTGGTTAAGAGACTTGATGTGTTGGTTGGTCAGATGGCAAAGTGGTAATCCACTTGTCTTTCACCAAGGTGACCCAAGGTTTGATTCTTTAATTTGACTTAAAAAAGTATGGGTTTTTTTCCACAGGTTTTCTGTTACAGAAAAACAGTTATCATCAACTAAAATGGAATTATTAAATCACCATGACCGACTTTCAAGGAAAGCATTAGTTTCAGCTTTTAATTATTAATCCGGTCAGGTCATTCCACATACACTACACTAAGGGCATTGAGGGGCATGTCATGATAGCAAATGACAAATAATTATCTTTCTGGACAGAAAACTTGGAATATAGCGTTCAGGTTGTTTTATAAGCCATGCAATATTCTGTTTCTCTTTGCATACAATAAGTACTGTGACAATTGTGTTAATATTGGATTAGGTCAATGGAAGGTTAGATGGTTGGTTAAGAGACTTGATGTGTTGGTTGGTCAGATGGCAAAGTGGTAATCCACTTGTCTTTCACCAAGGTGACCGAAGGTTTGATTCTTTAATTTGACTTAAAAAGGTATGGGGTTTTTCCACAGGTTTTCTGTTTCCTCTCAAAGTAAGACCTCTCACACTCTGCCATCTCGAGTCTGTAGTATGTTGGGATGAAAGGCTACGAAGTTTGTAAACTAAATCACCATGACCGACTTTCAAGGTCACTGTGATCATATTCTTCTACCAAACTCATTTAATTATTAATCTGAGTGGCCCCTAGTTTGTTCATTTCACCTACACATATGTATTGTAAAGAAGTTGTATGGTGTTTGGGAGGAAGATGAAAGTCACAAAAATAAACCCTACACAACATTTTGTTTCTTTACAAGCGGCAGATCAGCTGAGTAATATAGGTCCACTGAGTCTCTCATTCATTAAGGAGGTCAACTAAATACTTTAACAAGGTTTTTCAAATTCTTAAAAATGTACATCTCCCCCAGAAAGATAATTTGGCAGAAATTCCCTTAGATATTCCATTCTCCTTCCATTTTTTTTAGTTGTATAAATCCGTAAAAACGTAATATAAACTGCTTTTCCTTGACTGATACAAAAGGCTAGCAATGTTAATAAGTGATTTTGAGCATACAAGCTTAACAATCACAAATAAAAGATCTGTCAAATAGGCATGCCTTTCAACATGTTATATTATACAGCAGAACTGTTCTGTGAAAATCTTTAAGTATCATTGCTGTATTTATACGTAGTATAATCAAGCGTGTATATAGTGTTGATGTGTTATACCCATGTTTTATGATATATCAAAATCATATATTAAGTCCTGTTTGATCTGTTTCTTTAAATAGTTCAGCTGTTGGTACCTGTTGTGTAGAGGTACCTGTATTATGTAGAAGTAGGTCATATTACAAATGAAATTATAATTATCTGTCTAGGTACATTATGTCATTAATTTTCAATATTTTTTGTTGTCTCTTCATTCGGAAAAGTAGATAGTGAAATGTGTCGCCAAGGTGCTCTTGTAGGGTTATAGTAATATAAGTAGAGACAGGTACTCTTTTGATTATAAAGGTATGAGACAGGTACTCTTTTGATTATAAAGGTATGAGACAGTACTCTATTGATTATATAGGTAGAGACAGGTACTCTTTTGATTATAAAGGCAGAGACAGGTACTCTATTGATTATATAGGCAGAGACAGGTACTCTATTGATTATAAAGGCAGAGACAGGTACTCTTTTGATTATGAAGGTAGAGACAGTACTCTATTGATTATATAGGTAGAGACAGGTACTCTTCTGATTATATAGGTAGAGACAGTACTCTGTTGATTATATAGGTAGAGACAGTACTCTATTGATTATATAGGTAGAGACAGTACTCTATTGATTATAAAGGCAGAGACAGTACTCTGTTGATTATAAAGGTAGAGACAGTACTCTATTGATTATATAGGTAGAGACAGTACTCTATTGATTATATAGGTAGAGACAGGTACTCTATTGATTATATAGGTAGAGACAGTACTCTATTGATTATATAGGTAGAGACAGGTACTCTTTTGATTATATAGGTAGAGACAGGTACTCTATTGATTATAAAGGTAGAGACAGTTACTCTATTGATTATATAGGTAGAGACAGGTACTCTTTTGATTATATAGGTAGAGACAGTACTCTTTTGATTATATAGGCAGAGACAGTACTCTGTTGATTATATAGGCAGAGACAGTACTCTATTGATTATATAGGCAGAGACAGTACTCTATTGATTATATAGGTAGAGACAGTACTCTATTGATTATATAGGTAGATACAGGTAGTCTGTTGCCTTATTTTCCTACCAGGAAGCTATTTTGATTAATGCCTATTCCGTATTTTACTACATACCAGGGTACTTAAATTCATAGCCTTTTTCACCTGTCAAATCTATTACAGAGATCAAGTGAATATGTGGAAAGATTGTATTTATTTTTTACTTAATATGTGTTGTTTGTCTAGCCAACCAGAATCTCCTTCCTGGCTTATATTCTTAATAACATCATAAAACATTTAACTGTCAATGTGATATTTCCAAGAATTGGCCCTAGGAAATGTATGCTTATTGAAATTTTAAATAAATATCTGTTTTTATTTACGCAGTTATAAGAATGACAGTTTGAATAGACGTACTTAATACAAAATAACATAGGTTGTTAATTTCTTCCTGTATATAGAAATGGTTCTAAACCTTTCCGTTATCGTAGGCAGTGTGTCATCACAACAGTGGACAGAAATGTACCGTACATGATATATGTGGTATTACCAGACGTTCTGAAACCTTAAAACTTCCTTGAAAAATTCATCTTTTTGTAGATGAAAAATGTCAACAATTTATTTAATCAGATATTAATTCCTACTTGTAGGTAAAATTTTGTGCAATATTTACACATTGGCAACTTACATTGTTTGATTTCTTTATAACTGATGCCATATTTGCTGTATTTCTGTAAAAGTTTTAAATCAAGTTAACATTGGTTGTTTTCTACACTTGATAACTGATGATAGATCATTTTGTAATGTTATTATAATTGTGATAAAAACATATTTTTACATTTATCACTAGTCCTCCACCTCAGGGTTGTGGGTTTGAGGAATAAATAGGGCAGGTACTGATCATAGGTCACCGGTTTTTCTACAAGGAAGATCTGACTCTCCGCCTCCTCCCAAACAATCATTCAGTGACTGAGGAAGTTAATAGGACATAGGACAACAATAAATCAAATATAAATCTTCAGTGATGTAAAAGTTTTTCTGTGATTTGATAAAATGTTATCACAATTCAAAATCTGGTACAGTACGACAGATTTGTTTCAAACTCCAGAAGGCACAAGATAAAATTTTACAAAAAGAATATTTGCAACGAACCGCTAGTGACCAACAGGAATTTATTTCACCTCTGGAGGATTATAACATATCTATGGTAAAATTCTCTTATCATACAACATGGAATATTGGAAATAAGTATTGGTGGCAAACCTTGGAAGACAAGAGAGTAATTTTCTACATTAAAATAAATCCCTTGTTTTGTATAATGGATTCTTAATGTTGAAATATGTCGGTAAGGACCACTGGAGGTCAAGTTTCGAGACCGTTTAAAGAGTAAGATTAAAGTGAGTTTATTTCATGCTAGACAGTAATACTCTATTGTGAACAATAAGAGACTGCCAAAACTTCATTTCTACATTACACCCATGTTGAAAAGCAACACAGAGAACTGAAATAGTTAACAGGCAATCACAGAGGGCCTCAGGAGGAATTAGTGATCTATAGTATATCTTACAGTTTGTAATATAAGATAGTAATTCTCTTTAGCAATGTCAATAGGATACTAATTAATTCTCTACAGCAAAACATATTCTCCACCAGTGGAGACTTTTTCATAACAAAAGACAGAAAATGTAAGAAAGTGGACCTCGGTTATGAAATATGTTTTTAAATGAACCGTAAAGACATAAGAAACGATGATCTATATATACTTATGAAACTACGGCGTCTCTCTTTCTGATATATTGTTATATACCTGAACATTTGTGAAGCATTTTGACTCAATGAAAGGAATTGTGACTTTCGTTACATTTAATATAATCTTTTAAACATGTTTTTCAAGATAAATACTTCTACTGTATATTTAAGTTTCATATCTACATTATATCATGTTTTACTGTGTATTTAAAACCCTAGTATATGTTATGCTGTATGTAAATTTGTTTTCAGCATGATGCACTATTTGTCTCATATACCTTTACAGTGAACATGCTGTGGTGATTTATTGTGTTGTAATCATTCATATTTGTTTTTGTGAATTAAGCAACAAAAAAGTAGACATAATTTTACATTTTGACCAAAACTTTTTTATATCGACTGAAATGAAACTGGCAGTAAGTAAGTAAAACTTATTTAAAAGTCTACATCGTAACTGCAGCACATAGGTACTTCTCTCTGTCTAGGATCCATATATATATAGAGTTATTTTCCATTAATGACAAATTTTTACTGAATCTCATGTATATAGTGATGTAGAGTTCTAAGCGAGTATAAATTGATATTTGTCTCTCAGAATTAACGTAAATGAAAGTATACCTTTCATAAATAATTGTTTTTGAGGAAATGTTTAAATAATACACTTTTAAGGCCATCAATTCGAATACCAGGTACGTTTTTTTAGTTTCACATAATTTTCATTCAGAATAGTATTTTCAGGTTGTGTTTAAGCACAGTTTTAAATAAAGGGGATAAAACTGTTGTAATAGTCTCTTGAAAAATAACTGGTTATTTCAAGAAAGATACATACACCAAAATATTTTTTAAATTTTTTATTCTGTTTGTTTAATATACGGTTATGTTTTGTACTTAAGTTGACACGATTAAATGTCCAAAGTGTAAAATACAGCTGATTTAACTACGCAAAATTGTTGTACTATTATGGTGTTGTCAAGCACACTGCTTATCTATATATAGAATTGAGGAAGTACATTGGCTCAACATTCAGTGACTCACTAAGGATAAACATCTATACAATTTACCTATTTCATCATGCAGTGCTACAAATACCACACTGTAAATTTTTATACATATAAGTGATTGAAAATTATTGTAGGTTGTGATTGAATGATATAGATGTTAACTGCTATTAGTGCTTATCAAAATATGTATTTATATGCAGAACGTTAAAGGTGTTTGCATGCTATACTGTTTGAAATGTATTAGATTTAGCATAGGCTGAATTATAGTGTAGAAAAGTTTCATATTTATATAGTTTTGAAAATAGTTTAATTTCTCACCATACTTCAGTGTATTGGAATAAATGTGATAATGTGTTCCAGCCAGTTGTTATTTTCTATTTTTAACTATATGACGTCATGGGAATTAGGACCTGTATAATGTTGTACAGGTGAAGCTCAGTCACTCTGTAGGTTTGATGTATCCTCCATTGATCTCTTTACTTTGTAGTTGTAGTTTATACCAGTTGAGAAGAAGCTACCTTTGATCAAAACTATGCCTTACAGAACTCTAACCATCATAAATTACAGCAACTATTTCAAGATTTGAACTCATCTGAAGTCAGAAATCTAGAATTTTTTTATGAGCCAATTATTTTATGTTAGGAACCACCAAAAGGCGAAATAGCTTTTGAAAACGTGTCGCAAAGACCTTGCAATGTAATTTAATTTCACTATTAGATATATTGCTTACGTGTGTAAATACCAAAATATGTATATTGACCATGTCCATCGTATGCACTTACCAGAATTGAAAATCTGAGGACATGGCAGAGTCTTCCACGCCAATCGCTTACTTCGGTCGTGTAATCCAAAGAAATCGGTAGGGACAGGTTTTACCATGCGGTATTATAAGCATGACAAGTTCCCTTTCCGAATGGTGTATTTCCCATTTATTGATAGGAACAACCCTGCTTCCACAACATGTGGTGTTTGTGTCCCCTTTACTGTGATGTTGAAGGGGTTGTTGTGAATTATGAAGGCAGTAGACAGATTAACTCCGAATAAGAGGTTTCGAGATTAATCTAGTTAGACGTGTTTGATGCCCGTCAGTGTATCTGAAATTTCTGCTGTTGCTGCTGCTGCTGCTGCTGTTGTTATTGTTGTTAACCTTGTACTCGTTCGGGGACGTGGAATCACTTACTTTGATTGACCATGATTTACATTTCGGGAGACGCTCTTGAAGCAAAAGACGCTTACCATTCCGGAATTTCAAGGATCTCCGAAAAATTCTTTCTTTTGCTTAAATTTCGCCCCAGTTTCAAAGAATTTTACTTTAAATTAAGATTCTGTTAACATGTAGAATTATCTTTGTTGTTGTTTTAAACACTAAATTTCATGTACAGCTAGATTGTAAAACGTTGTCAAATCATGATAATCGTGGTTGTTTCGCGAAGGTAATTCAGATATTCATAATTACAATACCCGTTATATTTTTATAAGAAATGTTCTTTGAGATAAATTAATATACATTTTAGCCTTGTGTCCATATACTGGTGTTAATAACACAGTTAATATTTACAACTATGTTGAATAGCCAGTTCTATAAAGTTAAATGTGATCCAGTACAAGTTATTGCCAACCTCTCTCATCGGACTCACAATCATAAAAGTAAATGTTCAGTCCACAAGGTAATTTGATATGAAATAAAAATTGTAAACACTGACAAAGACAACTAATGGGTCGATTTAGACCTGGAGTTTTAATTAATGATAATAGTTCTGTTTGTCTTCGTTTCAGTCCTGTGTCGGAATCATATTTAACTCCGCCATATATGGTAAATCTCGAGTAGCCCAATTAACAGCTTTCAGTTTTGCAGATTTAACCGTATGTCATTGACTTTCCCGTTGCTTAACGGATAAACCCCAGCATCTTATCATAAGAACACGTTGGCGTGCAGAGAATACCCCGGGTAGGATTACCTTTTGGTATGTTTAATGTTATTTCCTTTTGAATCGCTGTGTTTTTTACCGCTTGATGGCCCTAATAACCTTTTATGTGTTGACGGGTGTTAAGAATGTAATAATAATAATAAACCCCGGGTAGGTATATTCGCTGTATAACATTTAGGTTATACAGAAAAAGACAAAGCCACTCATATACCTGGCATGTAAACCTACATTATGTATTCACACAGCAATGTTTTTGAAACGGCGACACCTTAAACTACTTCCTAGCAAGACTGTTTGTTTACAAACGGGACACAACACTGATTTCGAAATTACAAAGGACATTGGTATTGCGTTGCATAATTGATCCTTTGAACTTACCGGACGTATACAAGTGTTCACAAGGACGAGACCTCTAGAGCCTTCCATTGGCCTAGGCTCAACGGTACACGTTGTGAGTCAGCTTCCCTTGCTGGCTTCAACACTCGATGGTTATCTGTCTCAGCATCTCAAGTGGGCGTTTCTTGTTGGCTTAGTCGTGAGAACGTCATCAACCTTCTATACCCTACAGAGACGATTAATATCTGACATCGTGTTTATGTACTATATTAGAAGTGTATCATTTAGCCTTCAAAGTTTGTCATCTCTCTGTTTTATACATCAAATGTTGAGGGATTGACTAAACTGAAGTATTTCTTCTTCTAATCACGTTATCGGAACAAAAAACACACACATGCGCGCGCGCGATATTACTGATAGTTCTAATACCAAATGCAATTGTCTAAAAAAATTATGAATGACATTTTACCCTCTGCGGTAATGACCTGTTTTATCATACACTTAAAAGACCTATCAAGCGTGTATGATGTCATCTAGCAAAGAACAAATTTCCTACAAAACTTGAGCACAATTAAGTTTGGAGCGGGATTCCTATTTGGCATATCAAATGCAGCTGAGTTAGCGTTATTGCGCAAAATTGCTCAATGTATCCTTGTTGGCGTTCAATACTAATTAGGGATTGAATGATAAATTTATTTGTCCCAAGGATACTGTGACATGTTAAATTGAAACATACGGATTGGATCGTACACCCTCTAAGACATTCAGGAGGTTGATATACCTAAAATGACTTTGAAGAAATTAATAAAAGGAAAGAAATACCGACTTCGCAGTGCATCATGGGACTTTAAAAAGTCCTAAATAAATAACATTTTAAAACCTTCCCTGATTTACACGAAACAGACTCTTCATCTAACTGAAAATTACAGGGGGATTCCTGGTTTTTCAGTAGCTCAGGTCATAGTGAGAGACAATAATTAACAAAATGGCTGTCAAAACATGATATTACAAATAGTATGTTTATTCTTGAGATGTGTATTGTCAGGTGCCTCAGCTTTGTCAGCTGCACGGAAAGGTTCTAGCGGTAAAACTGTGTGGAGGGGAAAAGGGTATAGTAATTGGTAAATGCAGTAAGTTTGGTTTCCCAACCTGTGATACTGTGATGTACAGTTCTGATGAAAGTGATCAGAAGTTCTCGAAATTACACGCCATCTTAATCGTGTCTGCATTAACATTTTCCCGCGAAGAAGCGCTACTCTTATCCGAAATATAATCAATTTCCAAATTGTTTCTTTTAAAAGATAAACAATTTGTGTAATTTTGTAACGTGTTTCAATGAACTAATGTTACGGGATGTTTCCAAACAATATTACTGAATAGATAAGTCTTTTGCATCAAAAATAGCGATTTTGTCTCTTTTTGCATATTAATGAGCCAATCACACAACCTACGATGTATTCTTACGCAAAAGTGTCAATGGGGACGAAACAATGTTGTACACAATATATACATTTTTACGTTAAAAGGTTATGATAGAAAGAAGTTATACAACTCATGACAGTTGATTATCATCGTTATCTAACTCGAGTGAGTTAATTTTCAAATTTAGAAAAGACACGAAGCTCTGCCGACTACCACTCGTAGAACCTCTATGTATCTAACCCTTTTTACAAGCAATGCTTGAAATACTCGGTCACCTATTGACATTAGGTTTGTTCCCTTATTTGTTTATTTATTTATTTTTACAATTTTGTAATGTTTGTTTTTTAGATGCTAAGTCAGAATATACTACAAAGCTGTCAAGACGGAATGTCAGTTCAACAGGCGGGAATAGATAACCCCTAGAAAAGACAATATTGAGGGGAAGTATTTCAGCGTTCTATTGTAAAGATAACGTGGGCTTCCGTGACCAGTGATAGACATTATACTCCCCTGCTGTATTAAATATCCTTGATCTAACAAGGAAGTATACTTAACAAATACAGGTAATGGTCCTCTTGATTACAGAGCACGTCTGTCACCACATATCACCGTGACTTCCTTATTTCAGCTTGTTTTCATAACAACGGAACGATGCATTAGTGAAATCAATGTTATTTTCAAAACTTTTTTTAAGTCTTATCGCTCTCAAGACTGCTGTAAGTTTTTGTCACGTTCATATTATCTCGCGGTTTCATCATTCCCGTATCATGTTGTCATTCCCCCTAACGCAGTATTTGATTTTGAATAATTCATTCAGAACATATCACAACGTAATGTGACGTCAATCACGAAAAATGAATTTAAACTGAAAAGTTTATTTAGATGGGACAGTTTGTCGGTAAATTGCTAGCGTAGAGATAAAAGGCAGCTACCTAGTACGTTTTTAAATTAACGAATTAATTAGGAATATGTCAGTTAACAATAAATAAAGAGTACTCCAATCAAAATAGTTCAATCAATGTTTATTAATATCACTTGAATAACAACAATCATATAAAACTATGATATTTTGATCTGTAAACCGGTATCGATCATTTAACAGTGTGCATTGGATTTCAAAAAAAAAATATTTATTCAATCTAAAAACATTGAAATGAGGCACTTACGGTTAATATTGTGTCATATTTCAAAAATAAATAACAATTTTATTTAGAGCAATATGTATCAGTAAAGCATAGATGTCTTATTTTCAATTCGATGGACAGTGTTGCGGCTTTTCAGCTGGTTCTAGGTACAATGTATGTTATAAAGATGTAACATTCAGTAAAAAAAGGAAAATGACCGATGTCGTATTTATTTCTCTGAAACAATCAGGTCAGCATGCCATAATTACCGTTGGTTGACACCTCACCACCATTACACGTCCTCTCGCGCGTTAAACGGTATTGGAAACTGCCATTAAGTGGATGGAAATTCCTGCCGCAGTTCACAGACGTAACTCTTGACCCAAGCTGACAATTCAACGTAAGTTAAAACGACAAATTATCACAAAACGCAGGAAATGCTATACAGAACGCCAACACTTAATTACAACAGAGTGTATACGAGAAACGTGGAAAATGGCACACTAACTTTCTATTACGGCTGTGCCCACTTACGTAATGACTCACTGAAACTGTTTCAAAATATCTCAAATCAAACAAGGAAACAAAACGATATATTTGCCACGATATAATTGGAAAGTTATAGGTTTTTTTAAGTCCAACACACCATTCGCGCAATATCGCATTAATTGTAACGTTTTGTATCCTGCTGGTGCGCCAATTAACGGGCGGATCTGTCCGCTCAGCTAAAATTAGAAGGCCACGAGTGTAAAATAATTACAGTGACATTTAATATCAATTATAATGTGCCAATACGTGGGTCTGTGGTTAAATTCTTAAATAACTGTGCCAAAAGTTATAAATGATTTGCAAGGCCAATTTTTACTGACATTTTCCCGATACCCCATATATTCCTAGTCTAGAATATAATTTAAACTTCGATGTGCCTATTTTATTGGTTCTTACATAAATACATTAATACATTCCTCGTTGAAATATATATTAAATCAAGCAATGAAATGTCTTCAATGATCATCAGAACAGCACACAGTACAAAGTATGTAGCATTTTATATGTATATCGCAGCAACATCAACCATATATATATATCATACCATTAATAACAGAAACACCAGCTGTCAATATCTCTTTCACATGCTGTTGAAATATTTTATATTAAATGATAGCTTTGACTAGTCTTTGTGTCTCGGATTTGTCAAAAAAGCAGTTACTTCATCGGTATGTTAGAAATGAATAATCCAAAGGTAATGTTTTGCATTAAACTACTAAACCACCTAGCGTGTGGCAGTATAATTAACATGTTCTCCAGATGGTACAGAACTTCAGTACTTCCAGCATACGACACTATACAGAACACTACTACTGGTAAACGGTGCTTAGAAAACACTTGCAGGTTACTGACTTTGCCAACATGACTACCAGTAGATGACATATTGCACATTACTACTGATTTACAGAACACTCGCGAACATGGCGCCATATTGCACAGTTGCCCATTTTGTCATCACATTTAAAATCCATCCGTCCTCAATCTCGTCTCAATGACCTGTGGCCCTAGTCATAATATTCCTGATGAACATGGCTATCCGTTTGAGATCCAAGAAACCGACGCCAGGCAAATCCTTCTGAAGACTATCCACGTCCATGCTAAGTAAATCTTCGATTCCTATATTTCTATCTTTAATGATGTTTCTAGCTTTCAGGGTCACACCTATGTCATTCAGCTCATTTTCCAAGAGTTCAAGAGACATAGATATAGAATTAGACTCTGTTCTCTCTCGGTGCTTGAGTTGATGATGGACCGGCTGATTGTCTATTTCGTCAACATGACTAGATTCTTCGCTGTTTGAGGAAATGGTTCCTGGAATTTCTTGTGACACCGTTTCAGGTTTCTCCACACGATTGCGGATTGGTTTGGGTGAAATTGGAGGCGGGGTAGGTTTTATTTGCAAGCATGCGTTGCCAAGTGATTCACTAGAACTTGTTGGTGACAGATTATCACAAATCGGGTCAGACCGTTTTTTATTTAACTCATTCTGCTGGCTTTCGATAGCTCCACAATGAATGTCCTTGTCACAATTACCTTGATTTTCAGATTTACAATCATCACAATCGTCCTCATCCACACAACCTTTCTCCTGACAGTCAGCCTCCTCATCCAATTCATTTTCGCCAGATGTATCTTTGGCGAACATTTGCAACATAGTATCTCTAACCAAAATATTGTCTTCCTGTGATTCTGGTTGACACCATTCGACACTGTTGGGGTTTAATCCTCTGAGACTACTGTTATTTTCGGCTTGGTCTACCTCATCAATTTCAAAATCCGAATCTTTGTTTACATCTTTCGTTTCCTCTCCATATAAACATTCAACTTCAGATTCGATGTGGCAGATTAAGCTTGAATCAGAAATCTCGCTGATCTGGTGATGACCCTCGTTTTCGACGTTTCCATTCTCCCGTTCTTTGGCGTGATCACTTTCTTGTATCTTTGTACTATCACCCTCGTCGTCGTCAAGGTGTGTGCCAATAGTATCACTACTTTCTTCGCAAGCCTCATTGGCTTTTACACAAGAGTTCGTGTAAGTAACGGGTTGCATGTGATGGGGAAGTGGAGGTTGTTCATTCTCAACTAGGTCAGAGTTTAAACAATCAACATATTCATTGTCAGACATTTTCAGCGTTCCCTGTGGTGCTGACAGAGGTTTGGTACCGGGTATATCCGGTATGACATCATACACGTCTTCGTCATCTTCTTCCTCTTTCTTTTCACCTGCAACTGCATCAATCAGTTCTAAGTAATCATGTGGCGTAGGATTACATGGCGATATATCAAAGACGTTGTCGAACGGATCTGAAAGTGAAACCGAACTACTTGATAATCCGGGGCTTTTACTGGTCGGCGTGCGATAAACGCTGTGGTCGATATCGTTCGGAGACATGTAGTAAAGAGGATCATGAATATCATCGTCGTGCCGTTGCGGAGATGAAGATGAGGGAGGTGTCTGGTACCTTTCAGAAGAGTCTAACGATTCAAGGTACCACGGAAGGCGGAACGATGTCAGATCATCATCAGGGTCGATCGATTCCGTTAAGTTTTGATGTTCTATTAGTTTCGCCTGGATTTCTTTCATGCCCTCGATGTTTTCGTAGCAAGGGTTCTCTGTGGCGAAGTCGTGCTCATGTATTGTATCTGTGGGACTCGTCAGTCTCCCATCTTCTTTCAACATTTCAGACGGCGTGCTCGACACTCGCTTATTGGCGGATCTAGATCGGGTGAATTGAAATAATTTTGGTGAAGCGCCTTGTTTGGAATCCGGAATGATAGGCACGGTATCGAAATTTGGCGGAGCGCTAACACGCCGTGTTGGAATCTGCGGGATGTCGTATGTGTTATCATCCGGGTTCTGTTCACTTTCAGCGAATATAAATGTGGACGGACGTCGAGTATCTGTTAAACCAATATCTGAAATACCACTGTCCTGTGATGGCGAACCCCCGCAGAGAGAAGGTGGCGTTCCTGGACATGGAACAGGCGGTGGAGGTAGGTCGGGAGGCGTGGTGACGTGTTGACTTCTGTTCTCCGCCCCCTTCAAAGTATAGGTGTTTTCTGTATCATCAGTGTCAACGGTCTGGTTTGCATCACTGGAATATACAGGCACCTCAAAAAGTTTGTTCTCCAAGAAGAGTTTAAGAACATAATCAGGGGGTGGGGACGTATGTGAAGTGAGTTTCATCTTTACATACTGATCCTGACTGATTTCTGGTTTTCCATCGGATTGCATACACAAATCATCGCTTGACGGTGCCATCTTTATGTAACCCGAATCTCTATTGATATCCTTCGTGCACGGTTTTGGAGGTTCCATTTCCGGTTCCAGTGACACCTGTGATACTCTTTCACCGACGGTTATGGATCCGGACGACTCGCAGCTGTGCAGTTGGTCATCGGATTTGCAACTTAGGCAGACTTTGATGTTCCTCATGTAAGAATGAATCTTTTCCCTAGATACGTCGACTGCATTTTTGTATCCTTGGTGTGAAATCAGCTCATCGTTCGTATGTGCTACACGAAACTCCATCTTACAAGTGGATGGTATCTCTACAAGGATGTTTTTCTTGTTCATGATAGTGGCAGCCACGATAGACTGCTCCAAATACCCTTGGTCGAGTTGTAAAAGACCAGGGAAGAAGCAAGGCGTCGTGGGAACGCGACCGTACACTAATTTCACAACACAAGGCAAGAACTTGTTGGCTACAATTTCGCTCATTTGCATTACAGGACACGTGCCCTTTCCTGATGCCGTTGTAAGAGCATAGAACAATCCAGTCTGTGTGAATGGAATGATAACTTCTCGATCTGCCTCATCCAAACAGAGAAGAAATTTCTCTGTTATCAGAGACCTTCGTCGTAAGAATTTGGTTTTCTTTTTCGTCTCGGATGTAATTAACCTGAGTTTCCGTAGAACATCCCCAGGAAAGAGCATCCGCTGTTGATCATAGTAACTTTGGTCATCATCCTTTCCATTGATTACTTGGTATGCTTTTACCCGGTTTTGACCACCAATTAGGAACTTTTCTGTGTCAGACTGGGCAATATCCTCGATCTTCGTAAAGTGTGGTGCATTGTTGTCAGTTGTTCCGGAAAGATTTCTTCTCTTCAGTATAGCAAAGTAACCTGGAATGGATGAAGAAAAGTTCATGTGAATATTTTACACTGACATTTATAAACGCAGTTTGATTTTTAAAAAAACAGATCGCGATCTATAATTCTCTAAATGTTTATGTATGATAAAGTTTCAATATAAATCTAGTTTTAAGGATTAATTTGATCAGAAGTCACCTAGTCCTAATATGATAATGTTTCACGAGGACGTCAAAATTAAAAAAAAAATCCTACTGTGAAAACAGTAATGCTATGTTGTTATAAGTCTCTAACATGGCAGGATGCATAAGGATGCCTAAGAATTATCTTGGACTTATACATACTGAGAGTAAAGTGGCCAATTTAATCTCAGAATTAATATCAATTGAAAAGGACGACCATAAAGAAAGAAGGGCGATCTGTATTAAAATGTCGACATTTTATTAACGGGAATTTTGGGTTTTCGCATAGTACGGAGAAATCTGTTTCATTTTGTGTCACTTAATTCTACGTTATAATCTAGTGATTCCAAATGCCAAACATACTATTGGAACATTTGCATGACAAAATGTGTGTTTTTGATGGATTGTAATTTTGTTTTAAATTTCACCAAATTCTTAATGGTAAGTGTCAGTATGCGAGTGACATTTGGCGAGATATCAGGCCAGACAATGTAAATTTACGAGGGTTTTAGACTGTTTATAAAATACTAGGACAAATTCGAATAGGGTTTTTTTCTCCTCAGTAAAATAATGTTGATACCATATACATAAAGATACTAGGTATCCCCTACAAATGATTTGATATGAAAGTAAATTATTCAGTCGCTTCATTCCAGATTGACAATCATCATAAAGACCTACTTATTTCGCAAGATGAAACAAAATCACTCGGCCGTTTCCGTAGCTTCCTTCGCACCTTTTCGGAGACAGAAATTGGCGGATTTTATACTGACCTGAACAATTATTATCGGAGAACATCAATGTTGCCACTTGCGACAAATCATTGAAAATTGAGGATGGATATTTTCATGTCGATTGATTTGGTATCAGAAAATTCTACATTGTGTTATAAACAAAAATTGAAATATGTAAATTAGGAGTAATTATGATTTCTTAATTCATAAATTTGTTAATAAATTCTACAGGATAAGCTGATAATCAGTCCATACCAATAATACTAGTAGTTTGAATACATGCACATGAAACTGGAAGTACCCATAAGAGCAAGTACTAAGATCTAATTCATCCAAGACTATAGTCGGGTAAACATCATCCGTTCACGGACAGATTGGTCTGTACTCTAAGGGCGGAGAAGTCAATTCAGCGGTGGACAGATTGTTGTAAAGTAGACGGCCGTGTCTCACTTAAGGAATAATTTAGTGAGAAAGAAAAGCGACAGCAGGTGTAATAAGGACATAGCATAGTCTGGCGAGAGACATAGATGAAAGATAAACTGGTACATAGTCAGCTATAGCAAAGATCATTTCATTTCCTGTTGTGCCCACAACGATTGAACTACATGCAATAACATCCACTCTCCGCTCGTCATGGGTTGTTGACGAACACATTTGTGGATAGTTGGTGCCGTGAACAGGATATTCTCATTGTCAGCTAAATATATTTGTCTACTTTGTTCGTTTCTGTTGCTTTATATGGAACTTCTTCGGTCATTTTATCAAATAAGATCTTTTATGAAAACAAAGTAAAACATGTATTGCTAAATTCACAGAAACAATCTAAAATTAGGTTAGGGCATCTATACTAGGACTCTATGTGTTCGTAATTTTTTTTCTATCAAAATATGTGAGTGTTATTCAACTTCCAAAGTATCAATTCATCATTCCAACATACATGCTATACCGCACGTGGTTTAACAATTTAGAATGTTTTGATTAGCTGACAGGATGAACTTTGACCAAAAGGGCGCTTCACGCAATACCGGAAATTGGGACTCGCAATAAGTGATTCACGATTGTTTTTGTAATATGATGCCATCAATCGTTAGTGCCAGCCATCCAATCACAGGACTCAAAGTAATAACCTCGAATAATTTTCATGCCCACTAATCTATACAGACATTTTCATACTTCATTAGTTACCTACAAGTAATTATCGGCCATTTTGTTACAAACTCAGAGGTATTTTCTGGGATTTGCGTTGTTTTGTTAGCAGCCATTTATCACGGCGTGTATAACATTAAAGTCAACCATATTTTGTATGGAGGACTTGTTTGGTGTCCGGAAACCGTACGTAAATAATGTGACTGACTCAGTTCTAAATGATTAAGAGAGATCACGAGTGTACCAGAGGACGGGTTTCAAAGGTTCTACTGTGTATTTGTGTCTATAACGTATATGACTGCTACAAAGTGTTAACTACATCGCCGTGAAGTCATGGTTCAAGTACTAAGTCATAGCTTTAGTATTGTTAAGTTCAAATTCCTCCTTTTTTTACACAATGTAAACACAGAAAAAGAGTTTGGATCCAGATATATTTCACCTGTTACCACTCATTTAAATCATAAGATATTTAATTTCATAATAAGCTTCTAAGGAACAAAGCCTAGACGTTTTTCATGGAGTCGAGTCATTTCAACGTATTAAAAAAAAACCCAGCTATATATATATTATTCTAAAGAATGTCATGTACCTATTTGAAATTTATTTAAAACATGGCCAATCATTAAATAACAACGCATGTGTCATCAAAGGAATTCATAGAATAGTGTTTGTTGGAAATGACGGAGATTTGTAATACGTGTAATGCGTTTTAACTTTCTATGTCAAAGTGTCGTTAGTTTGTCTGCACGTGTTTGGGAATACTGTGGTACGGTAAAACTGCATCCCCCGCAAATGTATGTCGGAAACTTTTCATTATCTTGAAAACTCGTAATTTGATTGTCAAAAAAGTCACACAGCGTAACCAAGTCTCAAACACATAACAACACATTCCAATATAGTATTGCATGATACTGGGAACGTTGACTTCACTGTGCTACGGTTCTCATGTCCCTGTGATTCCGACCTCAATTACACAGACTCTGTTAGTCTGTTGTCACTAATAGCCGTGGGATTTTTAATGTTGGCCTAATAAATGGCGACTTAATTGTCCCATAAATACGAGAACTGATCATGATTAGCAAATGGTGTTATGATCGTGTTACAGACATAGCTAACATATTCCACGTAATCACCTGTAGGAATTACAGACCCCTCAGAATTATTAATCAATTTTTTTTCGAACATTCGTTATCATAAACTATTTACTTTCCCATCCTCAATATACTTACTGTTCAAAGGGAATTGATTTTAACAATATAATATGTTATTTCAAAATCATGTTTGTTAAACATTCTTATTGTGTCGCTCAGTTTACATACACGACACACACACTTTTCATCTAAATACACGGACATCACTTGCCATTTAATTTGATAAATACACGGACATCACGGGCCTTTATACTTAATTCACACGCAGACATCACGGGCCTTTATACTAAATCAACACACGGACATCACGGGCCAATATACTTAATTCACACACAGACATCACGGGCCTTTATACTTAATTAACACACGGACATCACGCGCCTTTATACTTAATTAACACACAGACATCACGGGCCTTTATACTTAATTAACACACAGACATCACGGACCTTTATACTTAATTAACACACAGACATCACGGGCCTTTATACTTAATTAACACACAGACATCACGGACCTTTATACTTAATTCACACACAGACTTCACGCGCCTTTATACTTAATTAACACACGGACATCACGGGTCTTTATACTTAATTAACACACAGACATCACGGGCCTTTATACTCAATTCACACACAGATATCACAGTCCTTTATACTTAATTCACACGCGGACATCACGGGCCTTTATACTTAATTTACACACGGACATCACGGGCCTTTATACTTAATTAACACACAGATATCACAGTCCTTTATACTTAATTCACACACGGACATCACGGGCCTTTATACTTAATTCACACGCGGACATCACGGGCCTTTATACTTAATTTTATACAATTAACACACGGACATCACGGTCCTTTATACTTAATTAACACACGGACATCACGGGCCTTTATACTTAATTCACACACGGACATCACGGGCCTTTATACTTAATTAACACACGGACATCACGGGCCTTTATACTTAATTCACACGCGGACATCACGGGCCTTTATACTTAATTAACACGCGGACATCACGGGCCTTTATACTTAATTCACACACGGACATCACGGGCCTTTATACTTAATTAACACACGGACATCACGGGCCTTTATACTTAATTCACACGCGGACATCACGGGCCTTTATACTTAATTTACACACGGACATCACGGGCCTTTATACTTAATTAACACACGGACATCACGGGCCTTTATACTTAATTAACACACGGACATCACGGGCCTTTATACATAATTAACACACGGACATCACGGGCCTTTATACTTAATTAACACACGGACATCACGGGCCTTTATACTTAATTAACACACGGACATCACGGGCCTTTATACTTAATTAACACACGGACATCACGGGCCTTTATACTTAATTAACACACAGACATCACGGGCCTTTATACTTATTTCACACGCGGACATCACGGGCCTTTATACTTAATTTACACACGGACATCACGGGCTTTTATACTTAATTAACACACAGATATCACAGTCCTTTATACTTTACACTTAACGATTACAAGTTCTCTATGAACTTTACACTTAACAATGATACGGGTCTCACGGACCTTTACGCTTAACAATTACACGGATCTAACAGACCTTTACACTTAACAATTACACGGATCTAACAGACCTTTACACTTAACAATTACACGGGCCTCACGGACCTTTACACTTAACAAATACACGGGTCTAACAGACCTTTAAACTTAACAATTACACGGGTCTAACAGACCTTTACACTTAACAATTACACGGGCCTCACGGACCTTTACACTTAACAATTACACGGGTCTCACGGACCTTTACACTTAACAATTACACGGGTCTCGCGGACCTTTACGCTTAACAATTACACGGATCTAACAGACCTTTACACTTAACAATTACACGGATCTAACAGACCTTTACACTTAACAATTACACGGGCCTCACGGACCTTTACACTTAACAATTACACGGGTCTCACTGACCTTTAAACTTAACAATTACACGGGTCTAACAGACCTTTACACTTAACAATTACACGGGCCTCACGGACCTTTACACTTAACAATTACACGGGTCTCACGGACCTTTACACTTAACAATTACACGGGTCTCGCGGACCTTTACACTTAACAATTACACGGGTCTCGCGGACCTTTACAATTATCAAAAATTACAAAATACATCAGTCTTACAGACCTTCACACTAAATGGATACACGAACATTTACACTTAGATATGTGGATTACAAAACTATGACAGGTTGGTACACCAGTGACAAAGTTTCCTATCGCTTGGTTTCTATATATACTTTTGGAAATAATTGTAACCTTCACCTCTACTGTAGTTAATACATGCAAAACCTACAATAGAAATATGTTTTGGAACCTATTTTAAACACACATTTCACAGACAGTACTGCGAAAGTCGCCAGTCTTAATTATACGACGAACCCTTTATCCTAAATCGGTCATGCTTTCTATATCCTGTTGTATGACCAAACGTTCATAAACACCCCTGAGAAAATCAGACGAGAGATTTACACATTTAAAAATCATATATATTTAAAAGCTCGTAACGTCTTTTACAAGATCAAGCATGGCATTCTTCAGGGTAACACAAGTAGGCGAGTTTTTTCGTTTGATTTATTAATGTTTTAGATAAGGCTGCCTAGTGGATACCGATCTGACGGTGTATTTCTACAAGTCACGACAGGTGGTCTAGACTCGGAAGAACTTTTATATAATACTGCGTTAGGAAATCAGATTGCCTGTAATAGACAAAACAAAGCAAGGTTGGAAATTTTGACAGGTGATTAAACGATTTAAAAGTTTTGTTTTGATTTTTTTCTTAACGATCTTGTTTTTCTTAAGAAGTAACTATATTTTTTATCGACTAGAAAAACAATCCTTCAATGATTTCGATTAATCTGAGGGAGATATCTTAACGGTACGTACCTTTGTAGTCCTCTGGGATGAGTAGGGGGTCACCAGCCTCCTGGTATTGGTCAGTGTCGTCCACGTACACAGATCTGGCCGGAATCTTCTGAATACTCCTCTTACGGTAGAACAACAGAGGTTGCGACAAATCAAAGTTGAATCGCGACCTGTCCACAGGAATCGGACACCTGGTTGTATCGCACAGAACAACCACGGGGAAAGGAAATTTCTGAATTATCATAAAAATTGAGTGAGTGCCATCTTCGAACTCCAGATTAGGTTTCGGAATCACATCATTATGATGATCTGGAAGGTCAGATTGGTCCTTACACGGATGCATTTTGATAAATTAAAGGTCAGGGGTGCTGTCCATTTCAGCTACAACAAAATACACGTGTATCGTTGAATTGTAACTTTGTTTATGCAGTGTTTTCCCAGTACACACACTTCTCCACTCCCACGTCTATTAAACAGGAAGATGACGGAGAAAAAAATGTAAATATTAAAATCGTGGCACATCCAGTCCATAAATTTACCCCAGCTGTACAGCAGATGTTGGAGCAAACACACTGTAGTCTGAAGTACTTCATTCATTCGTCATCCAACGAAATAACTGTGGCCTGGCCCACAAGACATATTATATATGTAGTATAACACTTTAACTTACTTCCGGCTGGCCGTGATGACACGAGTTCCTACACGATAGCTAGCCAGATTACGACCGTAATTCAGAAATCGGTACTATTTATTTATCTATCGGATTTTACTACGTAGTGACTGTCACCATCACTGTTGTCTAATAATAACAATATCACGTACCTTCTCTTTTCTTCAAGGCAGACACCCTGTACTATCTACCGACGTTGTAGTAACGTTATGTACAGTGCCTTCTCGCTTCGCTGGTAATGCGGAACAAATATGTTAATTTCAGGGGATTTTCGGGTTGAATTTTCCTCATTGTGCAACGAACATTTAAAATGTGAAACGTCACTGCAGACCTACTGTACATCAAAAACCGCACCTTCTAAAACTTTTCCCTTACAAAATGATTTAACGTTGGAATTATAGGTGTACTTTGCTCGCCAGAATATTGATATGAACTAAAACGTCTACTATATTCTTTGAAAAGAAAATCACCGTATTATCGTTGTGACATGTTATATAAGTATGACGGTTTTGTATCCAGAAACAGAGAGTGTACGTGGTATCATGTGACGGTATCCAGAAATAGAGAGTGTACGTGGTATCATGTGACGGTATCCAGAAATAGAGAGTGTACGTGGTATCATGTGACGGTATCCAGAAATAGAGAGTGTACACGTGACGGTATCCAGTAGAGAGTGTATCATGTGACGGTATCCAGAAATAGAGAGTGTACGTGGTATCATGTGACGGTATCCAGAAATAGAGAGTGTACGTGGTATCATGTGACGGTTTAGTATCCAGAAATAGTATCCAGAAATAGAGAGTGTACGTGGTATCATGTGACGGTTAGAGAGTGTACGTATCCAGAAATAGAGAGTAGGGTATGTGGTATCAGAAATAGAGAGTGTACGTGGTATCATGTGACGGTATCCAGAAATAGAGAGTGTACGTGGTATCATGTGACGGTTTAGTATCCAGAAATAGATAGGGTATGTGGTATCACGTGACGGTATCCAGAAATAGAGAGTGTACGTGGTATCATGTGACGGTTTAGTATCCAGAAATAGATAGGGTATGTGGTATCACGTGACGGTATCCAGAAATAGAGAGTGTACGTGGTATCATGTGACGGTATCCAGAAATAGAGAGTGTACGTGGTATCATGTGACGGTATCCAGAAATAGAGAGTGTACGTGGTATCATGTGACGGTATCCAGAAATAGAGAGTGTACGTGGTATCATGTGACGGTTTAGTATCCAGAAATAGAGAGTGTACGTGGTATCACGTGACGGTTTAGTATCCAGAAATAGAGAGTGTATGTGGTATCATGTGACGGTATCCAGAAATAGAGAGTGTACGTGGTATCATGTGACGGTTTAGTATCCAGAAATAGAGAGTGTACGTGGTATCATGTGACGGTATCCAGAAATAGTGAGTGTACGTGGTATCATGTGACGGTTTAGTATCCAGAAATAGAGAGTGTACGTGGTATCATGTGACGGTTTAGTATCCAGAAATAGAGAGTGTATGTGGTATCACGTGACGGTATCCAGAAATAGAGAGTGTACGTGGTATCATGTGACGGTATCCAGAAATAGAGAGTGTACGTGGTATCATGTGACGGTATCCAGAAATAGAGAGTGTACGTGGTATCATGTGACGGTTTAGTATCCAGAAATAGAGAGTGTACGTGGTATCATGTGACGGTATCCAGAAATAGAGAGTGTACGTGGTATCATGTTTAGTATCCAGAAATAGAGAGTGTACGTGGTATCATGTGACGGTATCCAGAAATAGAGAGTGTACGTGGTGTCCTGTGACGGTTTAGTATCCAGAAATAGATGGGGTATGTGGTACCCTGTGACGGTTTAGTATCAGAAATAGAGAGTGTACGTGATGTCCTGTGACGGTTTAGTATCAGAAATAGAGAGTGTATGTGGTGTCCTGTGACGGTTTAGTATCCAGAAACAGAGAGTGTACGTGGTGTCCTGTGACGGTTTAGTATCCAGAAATAGAGAGTGTACGTGGTATCATGTGACAGTATCCAGAAATAGAGACTGTACATGATGTCCTGTGACGGTTTAGTATCAAGAGATTTTGAGTTTACATTGTATCTTACATCCGCAGACTTCAGAGAAATAACTGCCATTAATGCATGGAACAAGACAAATGTGTCTTCGGTAATGATAGCAAAACCATTGACAACGAATTGTTTTGTAATGTTTGTAGTTTTAAGGGCTAAACCAAGGTTATGAAGGGTATCACGAGAATGAAATCGTAAGATGTATAGCTGAAATATCTTTTCCTGTCATAAAACGGCGATTCTTTCTAGACACAAAGCTCTGCCGTTCTCAGCCAAGACAATTAGGAACAATTTGGCACTAAAACACGTATAGTTTCAGAAATGCCACATAACCTAGCTGTATATACGATTTTTCAGATCCTCGATTGCTTTAGGCGAAAACTGAATTTCCCCTTTTGTTCAGAACTGGTGTCTAAAACGCAACCAGGATATATGTCGCGTGTTATTAAGGAAGTGTTTTAAGAAATACTATTTAACTAACACCTGCTGAAAAATATAAACCGCATAAGAACAAAAGATATGTCATTTAGTAAATAAAAAAAATATTAATTCAAATCACTCATGTGTATGTAGGTGTATCCGGTTATATCCGGTTGCCGAACTCGGGAAGGCCAGCTCGCATTCTACAGTATATGATAATGGCGACAATAAAATATTTCATTTGATCCGTCAAACCAGTGTAAACGTAAAATTCAGATATTTACATACGTCACTGATAACATAGAAACAATATTCAATGAAAAAAGTCTTCATTCCCATACAGAAACCAGAAAATATAACGTTCAAACTAGAAAAAAAAGTTACAAGTTGATGGGATTTTTTTAATTTCTTCTCAAAGTAATCATTACTTAAGATTCCATTGTCGTCTGTGAACGGTAGACATTTATCGTAATTGTTTTTTTAATTTCATTATTCGTGAAATACAGCGATATTTTTAAATATTCGACAACGTAACTTTCCAGTTAAATTACATATAGTTATTAATGGAGGTGTTCCTTTTCAATTCCAATTTTCGAGCGAAAATCTGATATATATATATTTTTTTTTTAAATTCCATAACATAAAACATAATCTTTAATTCACGAACAATTTATGGAAATGATTATCGTCTTAAATGATTTTGTTTCTTTAAATTATACACATATAAACATGATAATATTCCAAGAGATAATTAAATATAATTCAATGTAAGGTTTCATAGGAAGTTCACATTTTCTAGACTGACATCCTGACAGGGACACCAATATATAGATTCATATTGTTTTTACAGGTAAAACGGTCGGGAGACTATGGCAATGTGCTGCTGGAGAGGCTGGGCAGTGGCTTAGGAACTGTAGATTAGATGCAATAAGGACGTAATGAGACACATCTGTAACATTTTTTCTATATGAAAACATTCATCTAAGTTGCATTTTTTGGATAATTGATTTAGCTTTACAAAAGATCTAGCCAAAAGTATCTATTTCCAAAATAGTCAGAATTCATGATAGTGAAATGGTTTATGTAAACTCAGTACTTAGGGGTTTACTGAGAGCAGAATCTAAGGATCTCGATAAGAGAGTGATCTATGAAAAAAAGGATTTCGATATGGGGGATATTTATGTAGAAAAGGATCTCATTATGTGGAGTGTAGGATCACAATGCGCGTGAGATCTATGGAGTGTAGGATCACAATGCACGTGAGATCTATTGAGTGTAGGATCACAACACGTGTGAGATATATGGAGTGTAGGATCACAACACGTGTGAGATCTATGGAGTGTAAGATCACAATGCGCATGATATCTATGGAGTGTAGGATCACAACACGTGTGAGATCTATGGAGTCTAGGATCACAATGCGCGTGAGATCTATGGAGTCTAGGATCACAATGCGCGTGAGATCTATGGAGTCTAGGATCTCAACACGTGCATACAACACGACACAGGTGAAAGTTTTCTCCAAAATTAATCACTGGCACAATAATCTAAATTCAGCTTTACTAAACCTCTCTTTAAATCGAGTGAATAACAAGATTAAAAGAGATTGATTTCTTTGTATCTCAGACTTGGAAACACATTCCGTCCACAAACGATATCCTAGAGAGCGTTAGCAGTTTTCGGTATCTCAAGAATCGCTCTCCAGGATAAATACATCACACACGAGAAGTCATGAATCACAAAAACAAGTATGGAACATAGTATATTTACCCCAAAATACGGAATAGTCAACAACAAACAGCCATAAAAAAATCTCCGGACAGCCATAGAACTACAACACAAGACCACAGGACAGCCATAAAACACTAGCACAAGATCTCTGCGGACAGCCATAGAACACCAACACAAGATCTCCGGACAGCCATAGAACACAAACACAAGATCTCCGGACAGCCATAGAACACCAACACAAAATCTCCGGACAGCCACAGAACACCAACACAAGATCTCAGGACAGTCTTGGAACACCAACACAAGATCTTCGAACAGCCATAGAACACCAACACAAGATCTCCGGACAGTCATAGAACTACAACAAAAGACAACAGGACAGCCATAGAACACTAACAAAAGATCTCAGGACATCCATAGAACACCAACACAAGATCACAGGACAGCCATAGAACACCAACACAAGATCACAGGACAGCCATAGAACACCAACACAAGATCACAGGACAGCCATAGAACACCAACACAAGATCAAAGGACAGCCATAGAACACCAACACAAGATCACAGGACAGTCATAGAACACCAACACAAGATCACAGGACAGTCATAGAACACCAACACCAGATCTCCGGACAGCCATAGAACTACAACACAAGACCACAGGACAGCCATAGAACACCAACACAAGATCTCC